CGTACAAAATGTCAGACCCAACATGTTTAGGAAACAATAAAAAATAACATTCACGACAATATAGTCGTTCACATATTCATGTGAAAACGTGTGGAAAAAATATAGAAGTTTTCCAAAGATGTGTAAATAAAATATTGAACTTTTCGTAAAATATACACGATACACAATAGCTAAGATAATATGTTGTTTTTCCTTTTATATTTAATGTGTCGTCTTTAAAATGAGATATTTACATGCACATGTTTGAAATATACTTGTTGAGGTTGTCGACACTGTCAACCGCTCTGAGCCTCGCATGTTTTAAACATAACCGATGCCGAACAACGCAAAAAGTTCACATCGCCAATGCTAATTTATTTTCTGTAACCTTGGTTTGGGTGCCCATAGAACATCTACACTATTATCAAGCGAAATCGATTATTCTTTAGGTATATAGAATGACGAACTGATTTTGCCTTGGCTCATAAACCTCTTTACTTCTTTCCATTTTTTATCCTCTGCCGTCCTCTCTGGTTCTCTTCTCGTAATGAATCCTCTTTCTTTGGATTCAACTTGAGGACTACAAAGACTCATTCCACCACTTTTCGCACCTCCTATTGAGACGCATCCCGACGCTCTTAGTTCCGTACCGACCAACCACTAAGTAAATTCAATTATCCAGTTCCAGTGTTTACACAAGCTCGACACCAAAAAAATCCCTTTTTAATTTTAATTTTATTTCTCTTGACTTTAAGGATTTTATTGGCCATTAAGGGTATAAAAAACTAGTTTTTCAAGCTAGGATAGGAAACTTGTGCTAGTAAGCAAGCTGCTGCTTCTATCTTCATGTATACAGAACTAGCTAACTAGATAGTACACAAGCACTAATTGCTATCCAGTATCCTGGTAATAAATAAAAAGGATAGGATAGGATACGGGATACGGGTAAAATGCCGTTTTATTTCAATTCCTTATCTTTGATATTACCATTTTAATATGACGCGTAACATTGAGTGGCCAGAGAAGGAAGGATTGACTATTGCGCAATTGGTCTTGGTTTTCGGGAAAGTCGTGCCAACGCAAGTCACCTGTCATAAATAAGCCTTACAATTATATGAATAACTCAATATCCTGGTTTGAAACTTTTGTATATACTTAAATATTAAACAACATCACATAAATTGCTCAGATTCCAAGATAGCAGTAGCCTGAGACAACGAAGGTAATCGAAGCGGGAATCGAACCCGGGACCTCGACATGGCGAGATGGAGAGGTGGCGACACCGTGAAACCGCCGTGCGAACCACTCTGCTTTTATATACCTAAAATAGTGAAATAACAAAACGTATACAAATTATGGACTAATTTTAGGAACATTTATTCGTGTTCTTGATATAAAGTGTTCGAAATAAGCAAGAATTAGGAATTTAGAAGAGCCTCGGAATTATTATAATATTTTGATAAAAAAAACGTAAATTTTTTGATATTTGTTTTTTAATTATTCATGTAGCAGATACTACGATATAATTCTCTGGTCAGATCCTTATTATGGTAGCGATGATATTCAAAATCAGGTCGAAATAATTTTGATTTGAAGAACTCTATAAAAAGTCCGTATAACACAGACTATGTTACGAATCTCCAAGTTACAAGTGCAAATGATTCTCGTTATTTGCAAAGCAACAAAGACTAATTGAAACGTCAAGCAGGAGATGTGGATATTTTTGATAAGAACTTAAAAACTATTTAGAACCCATTTTAGAGTTCTTATAAAAGAAATGTAATTATAAATATTCTCAATCAATGGATTACAAGGTATGACATCGTTTATAAATAAAGTTATACGAACTACATGTGCCCTAAAATATATTTTATATTTCAATTTTTTTTTTGATGACTTAAGAAATATATTTCCCTTCAATTAATGTATGTTTACCTATATTTCCACCAACGGTTGACCAAAACTCTTTTAATAATAGCCCGAGGCATTTCCATATAAATTTTATCGAAATCCAATCGTTTTGTTTTGTTTTAATAACAAAACAAAATATGTTTTTCACCAAATATCACATAAATATTTAAATGACATGTTTATCAGTGATTTTTCTTCATTCTATTTATTGGAAAAATTATGTAGAGCAAATAAACAAAATCTCCTTTCCGAAGAGTTTCACTATGTTAACATATTTTTTTTAATATTGATATTTAATATTTTTAATGTTACCTATTATAAAGAATTCAATTCAAAAAAATAATTCTCCGCTTCTCTTCTCTTGTCTCTTAATTTGTCTTCTTTTATGTACATTATCGGTGCCCTAATCCCTCTCGCCTAATAACCACTATTACATGTTACAAGAATTATTCAATTTCTAAATTTTATGTTGTCCTAAAAGATTTCCTTTATTCAGTATATAGTTACATAAATAAAGAAATGAACGATGTGGAGATAAATGTAAGTCCAAATGTTTGAACGTGTCCACAGAAATATTTCCGATCATCAGCAAAGATTACTAGAATGAAACGCCGATGTGCTGTCGATATTTTTTACTTATTAGGTATGTTATTCGGCACGATACTTATAAACACACTTATGTTATCTACGTCGTAGTGTTTACACATTAGACTCAGCTTGCTAAGCGTTAACAAATTGTGAATTACGTAAAGAGTATACCTACCTACATGTGTATATATAAATATTTCATGATTAACGTTGATTTGGATGTTAAACTATTTTTTAAGTTAAAAGTAAAAAAAATCTTCATTCAAATTGAGAACTTCTTTACTGTAGACAAGAAGGTACGCAAGAAACCACATTCGAATAAATAATCGTCGCGTAAGAATAAGAAGTAAATTCCAAAATAAAAATATTTATATGGTAATACATAGATTCCTTTTGTCCACGATTGAACATCAGGTGCAGCTGTCGTAGGATTACCTGATTTAATTCGAACCCAATTTGAAAATATAATAACATGTTCAACGTTTGAACACAAAGAATCTACAAAAAATCTTCGCTGCGGGAATACCCTGACGCAACTTTTCTATTACACGTACACGTCCTGTGACGGTGAATGAACGTTTAAAATGGTGTATTCCAAAATGAACCTTATTAATAGCCTTTACGTCATTTTGTTATCGAATCGTTGAAAGGAGTCCCGCTGAATAAATTGTCATCAAACAATTTTATAGCTGACTATAAAAGGCTCCCTTCGGTAGGTGGAAAGAGAGAGGAGAATTTGGAATTGCTTTGTGACAATGACGCAACAAAACTTATTATACGTAGGAATTAGATTTAATAACGTCGATTATTACGACTCTTTTGGTTGTTCCAGGATTCCACAACATGCAAGAAGATGAATACAATATCAATGCCATAGTTTGCAGTGTGTTGAAATCAGGTCTGCATTGAGATTATTTTATAATACGAGTAATTTTCAAAAATCTCATTACCTCCTTTTTGAACTTCTATATTGACACTGCTTAATGAAAAATTAACTGCACGACAAGCAAAATAATACACATAGTTCAGTAGGCCGATGAATAAATTGGTTTTTGTTTTGAAGATTCAGGAGCAGCATTCAGAACAAAGGAATGTTCCTGCTAGACGACGTGAGAACGATGGAAAAACAGATTATTATTGGAAAAATGAATAATTTTTAAATTTCAACCGTTTCTGCAATATTATACGATACGTGCACTTGTATACTTACAAATTTAACAAAGCTACTAAAGATTAAAAACGTTCCCCTTCTTTGAAAATTGAAAGTTATCCGAAAGAGAAACCTATCAATGGATTTGGCAAACATGCGCACTGCGCATCAAGGAAACAGATTGTAGTAGGAATATATTTCCTCCTTTTACTTAAGAGTCTAAAAATGTATTGTTATTTGACATGATTGAATAGTACCATGATATCTACACTCTTTTTTTAATTCTCATGGCTTTAGCCCAAATTTTGAAGTTTAACTTATTCAAAGAAGTTAAACTTCAGAGCTATGCCATCGATTTTTGAATTCACAACTCGAGGCCTTGTAGTAATTGGAAAAAAAACATGTGTAGTTGCTGTAGAGATATCTGAATATTAAAGCTCGCTTGGTTCCGACATATGTTTCATATGGGTAGGGTTATTATGTTATTGTTGTTGTCAGTCACGTACGCCTGTAGAAGGAGACGCAGAATGTGAGCGAGCAAGATGGAAAAGTGGCGTGACAACAAACATGGCGTTGCCGGCTGCCGGTTGGACTGGTTGGTCCTACTACCACGTGCGTTTTGCGCCGTGAAGTCCTGGATTTTGTTTGTCAACAAACACCCTGTGAAGGTCATTATTAGGAGGATAAAAGACAAAGGAGTCTTTGGGACATGTTCTGTTAGTCTATGATATTATTGTAGACTTAGATAGGAGATTAATTCATTTTATTCGCTTAAAAAGCTCTCATTTATTTTTCTTATTTTGGACAGATGATGTAATAGTAGAGCAGCGGCGCGCGGTTGGTGCCAACCAAAATGTCCTTTGTTCTTTGTCACTAGTTTAAATTTTATTGTTCCATTTATTTTACATGCATGGTTACTATTTTGTGTTATCAAAATTTTGAAATCTGAGCCGAATGATCAAAGATATTCATTATTTTGCAAAAATTAGAATTTAATTGTTACTTATTTAAATTCTAATTTCATTCTTATTGGAAAATTACAGCTACAATCTTGATCGAACTTTTGCATACTATGTTTAGTGTAATGTAAATTCAATATTTTAGATATTTTTTCTGAAAAAGCAAATCTGCCGACTGTTGCCACAACAGAAGAAATGTGAAATAATAACAGTTGTTATCATGTGCCTGGGTAGTTATTAAAATTTAAGAATCTAATTTCAAGTGGGATGACTTTTTTGTTTAATGAAATATCCTATTGTTATTATTTACGTAATATTAGATGATACTGAGACCAATAACATCTGAATGATAAAAAAAATAAACGGCAAAAAATATAAACACGTCAGCGAGCAAACTTAGTGAATACGCATGCGCTAGTGTGGTGTGAGAGGCCACAAGGAACGACGCACAACAGTATCGCGACCGGCGGGGGAAATGTGGGCTGAAGGGGGGGTGTATACGTGCGCCGGTCGAGCCGGCTTCGCGGCCCCTACTCCTCAATTCTTCAGTTGGATTTTAGAACATCAGACGGGCGGGCGTGTGTAGGATGGATCGTTAGTAACATCAGCAGTTTTTTTTCATTCCGCCTTCTAACAGTGTTTGTTTATTACCTTCCGGCACACTTTCCGTAAATCCTTCTCGACGGTGGTGCTTTATTAATTTTATTTAAATTGGCGTTTATTTTCTATCTCACCTTTATAAACGTCGTCCCGATTTCAAGTCGAGAAGGCGGCCGCACAAGTTTGAAAGCGGCTTTTAAGAGTAGTACCACCTACTCGAAATTCTTCAATATTACTGCATCAACGCATCAAGCAGTTATCAAGATGGTGAAGAAGGTTTCTGAAGAGAGTGTAGATAGTGGTAAGCTAAATTTATTCACGTTATACTTTGCTATGATTACTTATACCATCGCCGTCACCTATCCACATTTAGTATATCACCTGATTCGTCTGACCGGTTTTTGTATTCGCTGCGTAGTTCTCTGTTGATTATAAAATTTTACATTAATAAGTGTTGGTAATTCGGGATCAGTTAAGGTCAACGAGAATTCCCTTGGACAACTTAGAAACTACTTGTCAACTTTGGATCTATATGTTTTCTGGTTTTTGTGTATGTATAAATTAATAACGTATTAACTTATACATACTTTAAAACTTCGTATGATGTCATTCATATCTTCAATAAGTCGGGAGCAAACATAGCAGTCTAATATCGTGGAGACATCTACATCTTTTTTGCAGTTAGGCAGATAGCGTTATTACCTCTTATAGTATATACATTTTTGCACATTTTTTTAATATGTAGTTTTAAAATTAGTTTATTTAAAAAATAAGCAAGGAGTGTATTTGTAAAAACGGTAAGAGCATATCAAGGATTTTGTGTGTTACAAAGTTCTTACCTATTCACTATTTTTAGGAAGTGGGTAGTTATTTTTATAATGCATGCTTATTTATACCCAATGTACGTTATACATACTGACCAACCTCAACATGCAACTTGTACTTTTCAATTTTATGACTCATATTAACTACCGTTGTTGTCGTTACAGTGCATGCTATGTTGTTGTTACCTGTAGTCTCTTCATTACATTAGATTTGGTTTATGATGTGAATATGATACTGCCGTGTCAAATATCTGTTACAATGGACGGACATTGACCGACAGAGACTTTTTCTGATTTTGCAATTTCACAATGACTTTGTGCAATATATACCTATATAAATTCTAAACTGGAGACCTTACTTGTACCTTATTAGACACTTTGGCATTTAGAAACATCCTGCTTGCCTGCCTACGCTATGATAATATTTGTTCATTATGCGGGTATAAATGGAATGGATCCTTGTAGAATTCTTAGTGACAATAATCAGTTCTCATTCATACTCGTACCACTTGTGATGTTGGGGTTCTCTTATAATCTGATAAGAAACAACAAGCTTCTTCATCAAGCTTCTTAATAAATTGTCTATTTAAATCCTTAATCCTTTCTGTAAAATCTAAACTGCAAAAGCTCTGATCCTATTGCAATGTGTCAGAAGTTTGTGTATAAATTCAAAGATACCTGAATAAAATCTATCTTTAGATTAGAAACTTTAGGTGGTTACGGTTATATAAAAGTTTTGAGGAAATTAAGAATATACGTTAGAAATGCATTGATAATTAAATGCAATTTCATATTCTCGTTATTTTCAACATGGCCGCTGAAGCGCGACGCCCCAGCGTTCATTGTCAAGGTCACCTACTAAAACTACTGCGCATTGGAGTTGCTACCACATTTCGTTCATATAATACCTTGTAATTAAAGAAAAGCCGGCTTTGCTAGCTGACGTATAAGGTATTATAACAAAGTTTGTATCTTCGTAACATGTAATCGTGTTTTAAGAATTATTCTGGCTAATTAATTAGGTATACCTACTTGATTATTATGTAATACGGGTCATTCATGCCGGCTTTGTCATATTATCCCCAGAGTCTAACCTTGGTAACTTGAATTTTTGGAGAAACTAAATGAGTGATAACTTTTTATTTACTTACCTATAACGTTTTGATGTTTAATCAGCGTTGATTAAAATCATTCATTCGTGTCAGTCGTCTCGAGCGTGGTAACCTTGACCATGACGAACTTAATGCCCATTCCGCTATGGCTATAGGCACCTAGCTGGTGTTTGCCTAAATATAGTGCTTGGGGCCCCTCTCCCTAGCTTACTGCGTCTCGGTTTTGCAATCGATTTTTGTTGTGCCTAAAACTCGTTGTTGGATACATATCCACGGAATTCGCGTTCGTGTTGTGTATTTTATAATGCCCTGGATATAAAATAAAAAGGAGACACCTTTATTTGATAGTTAATCCTCTATTACGTCGAATGTTATCGGGTTAGTTGAAATAAAATGTTTACTTCCTTGTTGATTCTAAATAAAATATGCAAATTATGTAATTAATCCACAAATGACTCATGTGCCGACTGTCCATTTATGGGAATTCGAGTAAATATTATTAGGACTACGACTTTAAAATGTTAGATCAGTGAAGAGTGAAAGTGGTTGCGTATTCACACAGGATATATATATATATATATATATATATATATATATATGCTATAATTTGAAAATTATTATTGAAATTTCACCGAGCCGTTACCGGGCTTGATACGCTGCAGCGCCGCCGTTCTTGCTACATTTTTGATGTAGCAGTGAATGCAACTTTTATGTTAAATTTATTTATTAGAACTTGTTCTTATATCTTTTTAATCTCCATCGCCTGATACTTATTAGTTAGATAACTAAATGTGTTATACATTAATCTTATCAGCTTTGCGAAGGAAAAGTTAAAATAGTAAAACGTAAATATTGCCAATTACATGATTCAACGACAAAACTATTATAGTGCAACTGTAGTAAAAGTGAAAGACTAAGGGCATTTATAGTATGCAAATAGAAAGTTAATTATTTAGTTTCAGCTTACGGGTATAAGACAAAAGTGTAATGGGCTTATGATCAGCATTGTAGAGAGTGCATTCGTGTTCAAGCGTTAATGCCAGCCAACCAGATTAGAAAGTAGAAACCTCAGGCTTAGGGCACGAATGTTGCAACTACGATCTAGAGTTAAAAATGAACCTGCATCGGCATAAAATGTACAAAAATCATTGAAATCGCCAAAATTACAAGATTGTTTGATAATTGTTTTAAGGCGAGTAAAGCTTTATTATCATTGGCGGTACCAAACAAGTGATTATCATAATTAATTAATTGTTGATCAGTTAATAATTATACAAGAGAATGATAATTTCAATATAGTTTTAAATTAATTTATTTTTAGATATTATTTCAGAGCCTAAGGTGCTATTCCTTGCTTCTATATTCTTTGTAAATATTAAACTAAGTTTTGCAACAAGGCTTTTTGGTCAAGTGCTATCTTTTTCCTTGTTATCTGTGTATTTATTATATTTCAATAATCAATCGAAAGTAAATAATCTACTTTGTAAAGTATTGTTGTTTTCTTTGTTCTCTACGTACAAGTTTTATTAGGTCAACCATTGTTTTTATCAAGGCCTCGCGAATGAATGTCGGACTTCAGCTGTTTTCAAAGTTGAGGTGTTTGTACTAATTTAAGTATTTGCGAGGTTGTCTCGGGGGGGGGGGGGGGGGGTTTACATAATCGCCCACGTTGGCCGCCGAGTGTACTGCCACGTGGAACTGGCTGGTGTGTCGAGTCACGCGATATGCTACACATACATATTTATTATACAAGTGTTCAATTACTCACTCAGTGTATTCATTATTATTCCTAATTTGAGCTACTGTTTCTTATAATGGTTATACGCTAGATAAATTATTACTTTTAAGGACCTCATTGGCTATTCACGTAACGTTCATTTTTTATGTTTTAATTGATTTATTTACTACTTGGGTCAAGGCAAATTCAGTGGATATTGGATATTAGATATTGGTATATAAATTTCGAATCGATGTTACGCGATATCAGGCGATCGTTGACTCAGTTGCATAAATTTCATATCGTCGTCTATGTTTTTAGCTTTCCTTTGTTTCAAGTTAACATATCCGAATGAGTAAGCACTGTTTATAAACAAACGTGAAGTGGTTTAATTACATTTTAAAACATTAATTTCAGCATGAATATAGTATAATTATGTATGTAAACAGGAAGCATTTGTTGAAATGGGTGATTGTATACGTGGGCGTGACTCGGAACCCCGATTGTTACAGTCGTTCAACTATTGCGCATTTTCACGTTGTTGCTATACGCCCAACCTATAGTGTGGTGATTACGTGCTAATTGTTGATTTTAGCTTGTCATCTCACCGTGTTATCAGCTTGAAGAGAATCTCTAATAACTCAACATAACGATAAACTTTATTCATCACGTTGATTTATTATTAATCTTTAGTTAGTTTTATATTATTTAAGATGGGAACTCGTATAATAAACAGCTCGTGAGGTTATACAAAACTGACAAATTTCACCACTTCATTTTAAAGTCTAATACTTTGCTAGTAGAGTACATAATTAATTGTTAAAAAACTGGCCTTTTTTTCATGATAATGGTTTATATCGATGGCCAGGAATTCGTACTGGTTTAAGCTATGGCGGCATCGATACCAAAGAAAGGTTGATTCGGGCCGTGGCAACAGTGTCGAGCGAGCAGTAGACATTTTTTTTACTGCAAGCAGTCGAATGATCGCGTAACGTGGGCGCGTAGCTGCGTACGCGCAGCGGTGGGTGCGGCCATGTAGGTCGTTGAACCGGCTTTGTTTGCCAACTCAGCTTGCACACGCATCTCGACCGAACAGCATTATCAACGGTGTGACTTATTGACGTGTTAAAGGGGTATCATTACCCATTTCGTTCTGGGGTAATAGTTTTTGTTTTGATATCGCTCACTGAATAGTACAGAGGCACAACTCATAAACCATAATTTGAGAAACACTCTCTGAAGTTATGAAAATTTAATATTTTTATAATTATGAAAATCAATTTTTTTAGCATAACAGTTAAATCGTTTGTATTATATTATTGTCATTGTCATTTCATTTTATTCTTATTCAATTCAAGGACGGAGACTGGTGACCGATACTAGGATAATCCTGTTCTACAGAACACCAGGTTTATTACTGTTAAGTTTTTTCTTATAATTATCTATGGGATGCCACCACAATGTTGTGGCGTTTTCTCGAAATAATGGTTTTTGAGTTGTGCCTCTGTACTATTCAGTGAGCGATATGAGGTTGATAAGAGATACAGGCAATGTTAATTGCAGAACTTTAGTTAATTGTTTCTGTACACCTACAGAAATAGTTGATGCAAAGGCATCGTTTGCGATCATATTTAAAATTCTAAATGGTGAAAACGTCGTGACAATGAACGCCACCAAAACTGAAGTGAGAGCTGTCGACATGGGCCTTGTCAGTGTTATTGTACTGACGTTGCATACGTAATGGTTTGCGTTATTCATGCTACGTTGATAAGACAAGGGATGTCAGTTCATATTTGTCAAAAATCTTTAGGCACACTTTCTATGTCATACATAACAAGAAAGTTTATTAACTCTGCCGATTATCCAACCAACTTCTTGGAAGAGTTAATTTGTTTTGCTGATTCTCTTGTCTTATAGTGTTAGCTTCCCATATCATAAATAATAATGGTTGGTATCGTTATTTATAAAACAGACTAATGTCATTAATATTCATGTTGTCATCATATTACTATACTATATTTACTAATCTCTAACTAGTTTTAATTTTTATTGCTCGTATTATTTTACGTAATAAGTCTATGTTGATTTGTCAACAGGAGTCGGTCGCTGCAGTAGCCAGTCGGGCAGCGAGCGGGAATCGGACGAAAGCCCGAGGGTGGCAGAGCCCTCGGCGCCCGTGCCCATTCCTGACAGTGAAGACCTGCAGCGCCGTAAAGAGGAGGCGCGAAGGAAGCGCCGCAGAAAGAAGCGCTCGGGTAGCTCCGTGGTCACATCATGCTTCCAAGGTATGGTATTATAAATAAATGAATAGTTAAAGGTTATGTTTTCTTATGCATGAAATATCGCTACGTACATTGAAAAAATTCCGAAGTATTGATTTGACTGCCACTATTGTTTGATTAGTTCACACTTGGAATATCGAATAGTTCAATGGTTTACCTTCACGGTTTGACTACCGCGACCCTTGACAATTAATGTATTATAGTCAAGTGGTTTGATAAGAGTTCTGTTAGATGTTGTACCTATCGGTTATACAATAACATTGGTAATTAAGAGTCGTGTATTTACAGCTCTTGTACGCAGCAGATTCTTGAAATTGAATTCAATTTTAATAAACATTGATAAGACTGAAGAACAGCCCGTCGTTCCTATCAAGGTTAATATGGAGTGCTTTGCGTGTGGTTGCCATATATCAGATGATTGCTATATTTATATCTGGAATTGTTAGGAAGTATTGGAAAAATTCTAATACATCCGTGTTGAAAGCACATTATAATTATTTTGTTTGTTATCTGCATGCTACATGACATGTAACCATAATAATTTCCCATAATGGGTCAGGTTATATGTATGTCATCGAAAAAAAAGATGTAGAATTTACTTAAAATTAATTAAGGTTGATATGTTTTGATAGTAAAAAAGTATCAGAAGATGGTGTTAACAAACCGAAAAATATCAGACTCATATGCATGATGCATTTTTCCTTACAAGTAAGAAAGCTGTTTTATAGGAATAGGATAGTTATACGCGTAAACTGTTTATAGTGTCTGGGTCTAGTTTTTGTTTAGTGTATATGACTTCCTTTGTCCTTTTTCCTTAGACTTTGGGATATCTTTCTTTTTTAGCTTCAAAACTTTACTCTTTTATCTTCGTTTCACATCTATCTTTGCCCTTTTGTCTGATATTATTAAAGGCACTTTAAATACGACTATTGTATAGTTTTTATAAATACCGTTATTTATGAACAGACCTCTACAAATTGACTGGCGAGGTCCTTGGCGAAGGGGCGTACGCGTCAGTGCAGACGTGCGTGAACATATACACGGAGCAAGAGTTTGCTGTGAAGATCATAGACAAGGTGCCAGGGCACGCCCGTGCCCGGGTGTTCCGCGAGGTGGAGACATTCCACTACTGTCAAGGGCACCCAAACATAATCCAGCTCATTGAATTCTTTGAGGACACTGACAAGTTTTACCTTGTCTTCGAAAAGGTGAGACCATAATTTAACTGTTTTTAATGACAAATGATTAAAAAAATTCCAGTACTCAGTACTCCAATAGGACTCGAACCTTTACCTTTCGCAATCCGGGCGACCGATCGCGGGGAGTCCAGCTATCCCACGGGTAAACTTGTAGCAGGCTGGTGATCTTGACATGTCAATAATTAAGTTTCAAATCAAGTACAAGTTCGTTATTTGTTAGTAATTAGTTTTGCTGGTTTTATATTTATAATACGCCGAAGGTCCAGGTTACCCACTGGTAGGTAAACTAGTAGCTGGCAGTGGGCTGGTGAATTTTTCAGGCATTAGAAATAATAAAATAGCATTGTGAATGCAAAATTAAATATAAATATAATAATTTGACTATCTACCTAAATGGTCGTTTCAGATATATTTTATTATGTAACTGTAAATTACGAATGTAATACATTACATCAAGTATATTGACCTTATCATGAAAAATCATCGATTACAAATCAAATCCGTATTGAAAACTAATGTTTGATTTTTATATTGGAAATCTTAGTTCTCTCTGGTTGCGCTGCCGTTGTGCAAAAGTAAATACAAAAGTTTATCAAATTTCAAATTATGAATAAGTATACACTTTTCATCGATAATTTTTGTACTGGTATACAAAATAATATGTTTTGCACAGCTTCCAGAGCATATTTTATTAAGTAGTTATGAGTTTTTTAATGTGGTTACAAAGACCCTTATAATGGGGTAACAAAGACCCCAATAATGAAGAACAAATTTCGTCTCCACGTGGAACATGATATAAGACGTGTTTTATGCGACGAAAATAAAACAAATGATGTCATAAATGTATATTTTATTTAAATTCATTATTCAACAAATTATTCACAATGATATATTGAAAACGGTTAAATACGTGTACAATTCTTATACATAATACGCGTTTATTATAAATTCTTCTGAACATTCTTGTGAGAAATTATCTCCGCTACGGCAAGTTAAAGTTGCGCTATTATTATTTTTCATTTGACGAATGCCAATGGTATTTCGCCTTGTTTTGCTTAAATAAACCATTACTCATAAATTATACGCGCTTAATCAAGTCGATAGTTTCACGAACAATCGATAGTGTTGCATCATGCGTGTGTTTAATTAAACTGAATTTTTCTGTTTACCTTAGTTTGATCATTATAAGACTTTCTTTATACTGAATGCTGAACTACATGAGTTCCAGCTACTGTTATGATTACAAATGCACCGACCAGTATTGAATGATAGAACTATCTGCCCAATCACACTCTGTGCGCCTTTGAATCTAAGATAGAAAAAACACGGTTTTTAAAGTTTAAAAAATAATATTTTCCTTTCTTTATGTATGAGCAATATAGAGTTTTCTTTCTATTTTCTCTGGGATATTATGATTTGAAACTTTATTAATCTATCATTATAACAAAGTCCCATTCGTGCGTAATGATATTGTAAAATGCGCCGACCTCTATACTAGTTTGCCCTTTGCTAATAATTGCTTTGCCCTTTGAGTTTCTTATAGTCAAATTCGATATAGTCTTTATTGTCTTGTTTTTAGGGTTTATGGTGCATTTTTGATGAAATTGTAATGTGGAGCCTCTCAAGTTTTTCTCGTAGATTTAGTTAACTCATAGATGCCTAAACTTAATTATAATTGTTTATTTATACTGTTTAAATTATCCGCTCTACCGCCTTAATGTGTAGTTTATTCACCTGGATGAGATATAATTTCTATTATATTCTTATATTTTAGCAATGGTGAATTCTTTCTTTAAGAGTGCAAGTAGATTTTCCTTATATTTTTTTATTCTTGTTTTAGTAAAAATGAAATCTTTTTTATAAATTTTAATTTTATAAATATAAAATAGATTTATATTTTCAGACACCATTATATCATTGTGACAAATATAGTTTAAACTATAATAATGTATGAATTTTGTATTGAATAGCATAGGTTGATAGCTCGTTTGCGTCGTTCCTCGCAGTGAAGTGCTCTCATTACGCTTTCTTTAAATTTGTGGTTGTATTATATTAAAATATTTTTTTCTATGAGAATGATTTGACATTTGGTTCATGTCTAAATATAATATAGTATAATCTTTTATCCATAACACATTAAGCGTTGGAGAGCTTTTAGACGTTACAAGGTTAAATGGCGTGTTACGATTGGCAAATAGTTGGGTTAGACTTTGAACCTATGACAATGTTGATAATACTTTACCTATGATACACCAAATGGTGGAATTATGACTGTGGAGTTGGAGCAACTTTCGCAAAAGGTAGTCATGAGATGGGTGATCAAATTGAGCTATCAACACTTTTAGCGCTGTTGTTAATTAACACTGTTTAAAGGCTTACTCTCTGTGCAGTTAACATCAGATTTCATATAACTGTCTCACTTTCAATTGAATTTGAATCTTAAACTGTCAATAAATAAGTTTGAAATGAATTCGTAATTTGTTGGTAATCTGATCTGCTGGTTTTATATTTATAATACGCCGAAGCACATGACGAAGGTTTAACCCTGAAATGATAATAAATTATATGATCTTTGTATGTTGCGTGAGGATTTTATAATAGTAACGATAAACAGCGTATACAATACAGAAAACGATCACTTTCAGCACCGTATATTAGATGAAGTAAAATAATTACATGAACATAAGAGTAACTATAAAAAAAACGACTCACGCACGTAGGGTTCCGTACCGGAAACGAGCAAAACAATCACATTTATTGTATGGGGCCCCCTTAAATATTTATTTTATTCTAGTTTTTAGTATTCTTTGTTGAAGTGGCAACAGAAAAAAAAACATTTGTGAAAATTTCAACTGTCTAACTTGCACGGGTCATGAGATTCATAACAGCCCTCAGACAGACAGCGATAGGGATCCTGTTTCACCATTTGGTTACTGCACCCTAAAAAGAAACAATCAGTTATGTTGTATGATGATCGATACGAAGACTGATTATATATAATATTTGTTAACAGATCAACGGCGGGCAACTGTTGTCGCGCATACAGGAGCACCACTATTTCTCGGAGCCGCAGGCGGCAGAGATAGTGCGAGAGCTAGCTAACGCCTTACACTTCCTGCACGGGAAGGGCGTCGCTCACCGCGACCTCAAGCCGGAGAACATACTGTGCGTGCACACCGACCGCCTGTGCCCGGTGAAGATCTGCGATTTTGACCTGGGCAGCGGCATCAGCTTCACCTCCAGCCTGGCCAGTCCGCTAGCCACTCCGCAGCTTATGACACCGGTAGGTATCACTTATGATCTATATAGTTGATACACTATATTTGAACTTGAAATAAATAGAATATGTAATAATTACAAAAGGAAACATCAAAGCCTTTTGTATAGTTATATCAAGTAGGTATATGGACTCTCCATTTGCGATGAGTCTAATTTAGGGTATGTCTAAAAAGAGTTTAGATATTTTTAATGTGTGAGAAAAAGTATAAATTATTAGATTTTTTATTATTTTGAATATGACATAGTATAGCTAAATAGAAGTAAATTAAATAATAAAGAGTTTATTTTATATTGCTCAGAAAATTATAAATACTTAAGATTTCATAGGACAATTTCCTTCGGCTTTCATTATCATATTAAATCTAAATCTATTTCAATTCATCTGACATTATTGCGTTATCGAGTTAACTGTTATCAGATTATAATTTAAAAACAACTCTTTCGTTTCATGTAATACTTACAGAAATAACGAGTTTAAATCGAAATAAGCCTTGGGCTACAAATTTAATTAACGCACGTCGTATGTCCAAAAATGTTTTTACGAGATTGTCTATGTACGTAATTAAGTCTGCTCCGAATGAACATTTCTCGCATAACCGGCTTATGTCGTAAATGTCCGTCCATAATAAAGTAAAGAGCACTGATCGCTGTATAATCCTGGATAATCTGTGTATAATGTTACGTTTGTATTCTGACGTTGTATGTACAAGGGATATCTTATTTGGCTCCTTTGATGATATAGTTATAATTTATTATAAGATTATTAATGAGGGTAACTATGTTAGCTATTTATGTTTTTTATGGAGTACTAATTTACAAGTAGACAAGGAACATAAACAGTGCCTGTGATCGGCAAAAAGAGTAGCGCGACTATCTTAAATCGAGCCCATTTAATTTTTAAAGATTTTTTTTTATTATGTTTATTGGAAAATAATGTCAACATGCTTAGATATAAGATAACGTATCAATTAATATGTTATTATTTTTATGCGTCTTTAACTTTTAAATTTTTTAATTTTATGCGTTTGCATGTACATATTGATTTATGTTTTCATAATGCGACTTTATTTATCATATGTATGTAAAATACTGTGCAAACATTAAATGTACGGCAAATATTAAGACATCTGAGCATACTAAATTAGTAAAAAGAACTATGGCCATAATGAACGCTGTTGCCTAGACTTAAAGTTCATTTTGAATTGATGTGATCGCTTATTACTTCTGAAGATATTTCCAATGCTAACAAAAGTTATTACAAATATAAAGTTGACTCATGGCATGCAAGTACAGTACACATGCTTAGCTGTGGAAATACTCTTGATTTTCCTATAAAAAAAGTTCTCATTAAAATCATACACAAAATGAAGAATTAACTTTTATATTGCTTTATCTCATTTAAGATAAATAAGTTAGCATAACAATTTTACAATGTTTGTGGAAGAGTCGGCAAACTATTATTATTAAGTTAATTGTTGTTATGAAATGCATGAGACACCGTGAATTTTGGTACAGTGCCCTGGCGGTATCTATAGTAAATATTAATCAGAAAAATGTGTTTGACAGTTAATAAGCAGTGGGTTTGATTTCACGATTAATCGCTTAAATAAACCAGGATTTTTTCCAGTAAGCTAAAACCACTTCTTAATCGTCTAGTATTTTATAAGGTGTAATATTATTAAGTACTTCGTGGGGTCGGTGGATAAGTTAAATGTACTGAATAACTTTTACTAAGCTGTTTCATACTCTCAACGGTAGGCATTACAGTTTTGTATGAAACGGCTGCTGAAAACTGCATACCAAATAATCGTTGGCAGTTTAAAGGATGTTTCTATGAATAGGAAAATAAAAAATACACAGCGAAATCTTAATAGAGTTCCCATGGAACCCAAAAAATGAGATGAAAGTAGAGAAATCAATATAAGGACATGGTTTATATGCTACTTATTGGGAATAAATAAAACGAGCGTCCATCTCCGTTGTTATTAGGTTGGCAGCGCGGAGTTTATGGCGCCCGAGGTGGTGTCACTGTTCGCGGGCTCGGCGGCCGCGCACTACGACAAGCGGTGCGACCTGTGGTCGCTCGGCGTGATCGCGTACATCCTCCTGTGCGGGTACCCGCCGTTCCGGGCCGACTGCGGCGCCGACTGCGGGTGGGAGCGCGGCGAGAACTGTCGCGCGTGTCAGGATCTACTATTCACCTCCATTCAGGTACGCATTCACTTGTGTTGATTTTCTTTAGTTTTTTTTAGGGTTTTTTCTATTTCGTTATACTTATTGTATATATTTGTCGTTTAAATATTCCGATATAATAACTCTTATTTTTTTACTTTCATGATTGAGGTTACTTTATAGTGGCCTTAATTCATAAATTAAAATTAGATTCCTGATAGATATCACGCAATATAACTAGCGGGGGAAACAAATCGTTGTATACGCAGCCGCACTATAAAATTTCATAAAAGATTTTAGTCTCTATTATTTACGTATTAAAAGTTTTATTTAACGGCTACTAGTAAGTTATTATAATAAATTTTGTGCAATAATACTTGTTAATGTTATGACGACTATGAACGAAACCATTTGCATTATCTATATTTAGGTATACAAAAATTCGAAATTTAATTAAATATACAATAAAATTATTTTTTATGACAAAGGTTTTTACTTAACAAACGTCACCGTGTCCGTGCTATGTGAAACGGGCTTTAATAATGTTGTTGTGTCGTTACAGGAGGGGCGGTACAGTTTCCCCGAGGAGGAGTGGGCGCAGATCTCATGGGAGGCGAAGGACCTGATCCGGCAGCTGTTGGTGCGCGAGGCGTCGCACCGGCTGAGTGCGGAGCGCGTGCTGCACCACCCGTGGCTGCGCCGCGCGGACCCGCCCCGCGCGTCCCGCGCCCCCCACACGCTACACCCGCCCGCGCGCGCGCACCCGCCGCTGCACACGCCCGCCAACATCAAACGGTCAGTGCTCGGCTGCGTGACGCTTGCCACTTTTTTTTTTTTTAATTTATTTACAGTTCGAGAAAAATTATTTAACATGGTAATTAAACTAAGCCATGAAGAGAAACCAAGAAGGTTTGTACACATGTGCTAGGAATAAACATATATAAAACATGCATTCAAAACATATCGGCAACAACTTAATTAACATATTATTAAAAACAGCAATTTAAACATTTAAGTAATAACACGCACTTGGCACAGTATTTAGTCACCAAGCACATCTAAGTAATAAACTTACTGACCACTACCGGCACTAGTGTCGTGTCTGCACGGCACCAGCTGCTGCGCTGGGCGCGTAGATGTCAGTGGACAGCGCCATCTAGGAATTCGATTTGTAACTAATAGGTGTATAGTCGCAACAGTGACGTCACACAATGGGGGGTCGTGTTTCAAGTGACGCTGCACACAGATATAAAAATCACGACTTTTAATTTTAAAACAATAAGATCAGAATCTTGTAGTAATATGTTTATTACGACGTAATTTTTTTTCGGTAAAATTACATTTAAAATAGGGTAGTGAACTACCCTATTGTACTTTCAATGTCAAATACCTTAACTACGTAAGTACATATGTCCAACACAACATCTGACCGTACCGTTTGTCCACCAACAGCAACATGTCGGCGCGCAACCTGTCCAACTTCGCTGAATCCGCGATGGCGGTGAACCGCGTGATCCAGCAGCACTTCTCCATGAACTACTCGTACATGGAGCGGCCGCCGAGCGCGGTCCGCTGCAGCAAGTCCTGCTACCCGAGCCCCGACGCCGTCGAGGAGGAAATGAACGGGGGCGTCCAGCGGATGGCGCTCCGGTGCGCGGACTACTGCCCCCCGCCGCTGGGGCTGTCGCCCCCCGCCGATTCGGAGCTCCTCCGCCGGCGACACGCCGACAAACCCCTCCCGGTCCACTAGCCGCACGCTCTGCGTTCCCGCCGCGATACCTCCATTCGAACTAAACCCGCTTCCGACGATCACGTATTTCTATATGTTATTGTGCTAAGTCGTTCGTGAATTCTTCGCGGTTTTAGCTGGTAGGAAGCTAAGTGATGTCCTTTTTTTCGTAATATAAGTGGTTCGTCGATAGTCGGACGCGGGGATGGGTCGCCGTGATGTTTTGGAAGATAGGATGCCGAGTTTCGCTAACGTTTTCCGAGCGTTTGCAACGCCACAGTTTTAGATTACCACGGGATGTCAAACGATTATGAACTTAATCGTCGATACGTTAAGATTTAATTGTTAATTTGACGGTTTTGTGGAATCTAACTAGCTGTTGGCTGTGCGTTGACGTTTGTAGAATGTGGCCGGATCTCGTATGTGACTCGACCGTAGTGTACGGTTATTGTTACGAAGATATATTATGGACGAGCGGTCGCGGTTGTCGGCCGTCGCCATCTTGCCCTCGCGGGCTCTTCACGTACGGGTACGGGTACGGGTACGAGTACGGGTACGCGGGGCCGCGACGGGACGCAGGCGTACAGAGGTGCGATGGTCGTCGTGCGCCGAATACGATGTGATTATAAGGACGAGTTTACAGCGGTGACGTAGTGACACGCAATTATGTCGGACACGAGAATCCGACGGAATATTCCACCAGTGATAGTTGAGCTCCCTTAGAACTGTAACGGTTTTATTTGAGCCTTTTAAAGATATATTTTTATGAATAAATAAAAACGACTGAATAGTTTTTATCTATATGTAGAGTATTTGTGAGTTTATGTTGCCGGCGGCAGCCGGAGACCGACAATGGTCGTTAAAAATTGTATTATATTGAGATAGTTGTGCCGATCTACATAATATGTAATGTACTTTATTGTCTCTGTGGCGACGAATAAATTTATTATTTTTGGATTTATGAAATCCGCAATTTGATTCGAGCTTAGTTTATTATGAAGCCTTCAGTTTGTGGCCTATCCTTTGCAATAAATAGAAATTATGTAATTTTGATGGAGTTTTCGGATACTAGTCTGTTTATGTGATTGTTTTTGCATTTTTTACCAACAATGGAAAAAAACACATCTCATTAATTAAGATTGAATCGACAGTGTTTTGTATAATGAAATGTTAAGGGGTAATATGTGACATTTTTCGAGAGGTAACAGTGTACCTTTCTATACAGTTTCGAATTATTCTTTCGATCTATTTGCATACAATAAGAACGATAAGAGACGAAGTTCGTTTTGTATTTGGTATTATTAAATATAGAAGCACTCGTGTACTGATTGAAATGTCATATATTTTCTGACTCAAGCTGTGTTGGTAAGTTAAGTGTTGCATGGGGTTCCATGGAACTGCCATAAACATTGTGATCAGTTTGAATACTTTTATATTGCTGAAAGAAGTGTTGAAATAATGTTAAGTGTAGACCTGCTAGACTGTAACCCAGCGTAGAACGTTGATTGGAGAAGGTTAGCATCGTATAATTATTGGCCATTATTGTTTATTTTTCACAAATTTTATATTTTAAACGATAATTAGATATGTTAATTATATTTTTGAATTTGTGGCTTTATCCAATCAATTCTAAACTTACTTATGCAGTACTTTGTTAAATTTGTTTTCGACTAAATCATTGATTTGAACTGTCATTGAAATACAGATGTTTGAATTTTTATAACAAGTTTATTTAATTTATCATTCCTTTTGTAAAATATCTTGGTGGTGTGGTATGAGATGGTCATCGTGTTAACATAATACCTGACGCGAGAGGCGTCGCGTCGTGTCCCATCGGCCTCAGAACGTCCGGGCCTTAGGTCGATGAATTTACGGAAGACTAACGTATGAACAGGGTGTCCATAAGGCAGGCAGACTTCGATTTTGAACCAAATTACGTAGTTTTGGAGATAAACTTCGACTTCCAAAAAACTTTCCAGGTCATCATTTAATTGCTAATTTGTCAGTTTGGGACACGACGGTGATTAATGGTGACTAAATACTTTAAAAGATGATTAAGGAATAATGCGGCGCTGCTGAAATGATGTGAGTTTAGCAGCGCCACCTCATGTTATTTTTGTGTATCTTGCTATAAACTTCTTAGTTCTTTGAATCCTGAATTCATGAAACATTGAAGCTTTTGACATTCTGCGAGTATTAACTACACTAGGGTACTAATGAAGTAGAATAAATTACACAAACGATTTCCGCTACTACGAAATATTTACTGACTATTCTAGTCTTCATAAAATGGTCTACTGTGACTGTGACGAAATACTATCATGACGTGATAAAACCTACAGTCGGAATAACTAAATATGTTCAACGCCTGCCGAATTCTATCAGCAAATATCAAACTTTCCTGATGGTAGAATCATAGCAAACACACAATTCGGCAGGCGTCAATTGTAATATAATTGGGCGTCACACATTTGACATTTTGTATGTTGACACAAGATGATATGAATTTAATCAAAGCAACAAAGTTAAAAGCTTATTTACATTTAACCGAAGTATGTAGGTTTAGGAACTTTTAGGTTGAAGGTTGGTTCCTACATGTGGTGATGGAGACAACTGGCCAGGGAGACTAAAGGATAATTGTCTCCCTCCGAGCTAGGTGTTGTTAGCCCGGGGACCGCGGTCCAACCGATGTAGGTTGGACGTTCTATTTATGTTAATTGGTAATGAAACTTATTCTGTGCGATGTAGGTTTCTTTCTTCTACTAAATGTCTTGTAGTTATTAATTTATGCTGCTTGTATTGGTACAGCGCCATCTCGTTACTTGCTGTTGAAACTTATTGCAGTTCGTCTTGCTATCGATGGCTGTGACAATGCTAGCCTTCTCGCTATCGATTGTTGTGGCGATGTTAGTGCGATGAATTAGATGTCGCTATGTATCAGTCGCCACAAAGCCGAGAAAACCAAGGGAAAGTAGGACGAAAGAAGGGAAGAAGGGAGTAAAGTCGTTAACAGGGATAATAGTCAGACAATCGAGGAGGATTCCCCTATAGGAGAGATAATAGAAATACCAAGATATACCGTCTCCGGAGAAATACCGTCATAACACCATGAAAATAACTAAAATATACCAATCTTGCCGTTTCAATATTTGTCAAGAGTCTAATTACTTAACACCAAAAGCAGTCAAGTAGTCTTTTTTACTCATATAATTACATTTATAAGTGTACATGCCTCACATTAGATAGTGCAAACTTTATGCATTTTGTTTTATTTCATTTGATTAATTACATTGTCTTACCCCCACAATTTTAAATGGTTTTTAAACGTTAGTGCAACTAGCTTTAAGTGAACAGAAACAAAATCATCGAGGAACGATGATGGCAAATGTAAGAAAATAAGCCATTTTACAAACGATAAATTTAACCCTGAAATAACAACGGTGAGTGGTTCTATTGAATACTTTGAAGAAAAATGTAACATTTATGGTCAAGAATATCTCAAAATACAGAAAGATATTTTCACACCACAGTATTAAATGAAAACATCATTTTTGACAGATTTTCATAAACGTTCGTATGAAGAAATCAAAACAAAATTATACAGTTTTTATACAATAAAAAAGACAAGATTTAAAGCTCTAAATTCTGGAGTTGTACGAGAAAGGAAAATAGTACGCAACGCTTCAAATAAAAAAAGAACGGTGAACGTAAGTTTTATGATAATAATGATACTGATAGTACCAGTGATGATGGTTCGAGAATACAAAAAATTAACGTATGTAACATGAAATGTAAGAAAATTGTTATTTATATAAATGGCAAAGCATTAAGAATGGGTTGGTACCCAGGATCAATTTATTCAATCATAAGCACAGTATTTTGGTGAAAGATTGGATCTCCAGAGTTAGTGAAGGGATCAAAATTGACCTAAGACGCCTATTTACAATTTATAGTAGCTCCTGCTTCTAAAAAGTGCCTAAATTTCTCTACCATAAAGGTTTTCATTGATAAAACAGAATGCTCTTTGGTTTCCTTTCCTTGAAAATCTACTTAATGCATCCCTAATACAGCCATTTATTTCGATGATATTGGATTGGATAAACAAACGAAGATCACATCAAAACATTAAAAAAAAGTATTGCACCGACTTCAGAAAGCAGGGATGAAAGTAAACCTTAAGAAGTGTAGATTTTTACAAAAGTACTTGAATCATACGATTAGCAAAGATGGAATAAGGTCAACAAAATCTAAAAGTGAAGCAATCCTCAAAGCACCTTAACTAAAAATATTAAGGAATTGAGATCATTTCTAAGTCTCGTCAATTTTTATGAAAAATTCATCCCTCGCCTCCATGGTAAATGTTGAGGATTGCTCACTTTAACAGGACATAAACAAAAGTAAAAGTTATCTGCCAAAGAAAACGCTATTCTTGAAGAGACCAAAAGATGTATATCGGAGCTGTTTTGTGTCCCAAAACTAACGGCATTGAAAAGCCAATCGCATTTGCTTAAGAAAATTTAAACAAGCAGAAAGCAATTATTTAGTCATCGAAAGAGAAACGTTAGCAATATTGTTCGAAATATCAAAGTTGGACTAATATTTACGGGCAAAGAAATTCACATTAGTAACAGATCACAAACTCTTTATATACCTATTGGAACCTAATAGAAATTAACCTAAATTAATAAACAATTGACTAATCAGATGAGCGTTATTAACAGGCTTCCAAACCCTACTGAGCGACTTACCAATATAGAAAAATATATCAACAAGGTAGTAAAAAGGATAAGTGAATTAATGATTAATGAGGTAGCTAAACGAAGAAAATATTAACGAACAAACAAAAAAGGACACGATTTTATCGAAAGTAAAATTACACATAAGAACAAGTTGGAATACCTACAATTTACAATCATATTTTAAGAAACGCAATGAATTGGCAGTTGACAGCAACATAATAATATGGTAAGGCAGGATTGTTATTAAGAATTCAATGAGAAACGCAACACCGAAGTACCTTCATCGAGGACATCCAGGAATATCAGCCATGAGAGCATTTGAGAAAATAGTGAAGATAATAGACCGGACAAAACATAAATATTCATAGTCAATTCCAAACCACGTATGAGAAAGACTACACAATGATTTTGCAGGTCCATTTCTAATAAAATGTTATCTAGTTTTATGCGATGCTTTATCTAAATGGGCCAAGATTAAACCAATGAACAAGACAACGACAGATACACTGTGCAGGGAACTTGGCGACATCTTTACTAGGTACCTTTGGATTACCACAGATTATTGTTTCTGATAACGGACCTCAATTTACATTTTGCATAACAAATCATCTCCAAACTATCTCTCTACACGCTCGACACAAAAATTGATTTAACAGGGAAATTACAGATTTTTCTTTTAACATTAAATCTGTCTCCTTGTGCGGGTGTGTTTTTTGTATTTATTATCTTTTATTTGGATTTCATTTTTGTAATTAGTCGAAAAAGTTAGCTATTTTTATCAGTTGTGTAACTCTGTAATTGGCTTAAGTTACTTTCGCATCACATTATTATAGTATGTATTTATAAATAAGCTGTGGAGTTTCTGAATAATAAAAAAAAAAAAAAAAAAAACATATGTTCTCCACACTGTTCTATCATGACAAATCAACTGCATTTTAGACAATGCTCGACCCTGTACTAGAATCATCTCAGAAAAGGATATTAACAACTATCAACCTGGAAAAAATGCTATCGTTAAAACTATAGATGATAAGAAATGGCAACCAGTCACAGTGGAGAGGCGAACAGATATTCTTGCGACATGCGGATCACATTCGTCCAGACAACTATAGTACATTAATCTCATCCCAAGTAAACAGTGATATAAACAATTCTACACAATCTGCACCATATGTTAATAATACTCTGCCCCAAATACCTGTTTTACCTAATACTCCACTTAGAACAGTACCTGCTCATGGTGATATTCCCACAGACGCCCAAGACGCCCACCACGCCTCCTGATTGAAGAGTTAGAATAGGAGGGGACGAATATTATAACATTGAACCTCCTTGCTAGAGATTTAGTTTTAATTATCTCTATTGGTTAGTTGCACAAACGTCCATAAGGGTCTAATGACGCCTTTAAGCCCCAAAAAATGGGAAATTGTATGGGTAATGGCGCTTTAAATTTTAATGGACGTTTGTGCAACTGGCAGTATGTTACGTACTTTCAAAATGTCAGTGACAAAGTGTAAAAAAAAGATGCGTTATTTAGTAAAAATGCTTGGACTTACGACTGTGTTTTAATTTAATCAGTTAGTTAGTTTACTCTTTACTTTCTGTCTTGCTAAATAGCTCAATAAATGGAATGACTTAATTTTCTGTTTGGCGCTAACTGGTAAATGGATTAGCGCCACAGAACATTCTGTGATTAGCGCAATGAAAAAAGAGATAGAGTATATTGTAGAAAATATTACTTGGACTGTTGTCGCAAAACCAGATGGCTGTAAGCTAATCGATACAAAAAGGAGAAGATGGAAGTCAGTTGTATAAAGCGAAGGTAGCACCTGCTAAAAGAATGTGCTTTAAAAAAGCAGCAGATTTCATTTCATCGTCAGAGGTGTATTCACGTGCTGCTTAACTCGCCACATTAAGAATGTTTGTTGCAGTCAGTATCCATCTGGGTATTCGAATTACGTTTGGATATTTACATTAGAGATGGTTAAATGAGGAAGTATTAAAAAAATAATAATTAGTAAATTAAATTTCAAAACTCAATAAACCACTTACTTTTTTTATACTTCCTCATTGGCGCTTAGCGTGTTAATTTAACACTCTAATCATACATACTTAGCGCTTAACGCTGTTAAGTATGTACATGTTTCATGTTTGGTGGGTCCTTATAGGTGAAAGAATCCCGTATTTTTATAAATGTTTTGAAATCCTGCATTTTCCCGAAACTGAATTTCACAAACGCCTAGCCTGCTGTTATGCTTGCGTACCTGGATAAAATCGGTACGAACTTAAATCGATTTTTCTCTAAAATCAACATCCACACCACCCTAGAACAGAGTCAAAATGCTACTTTTTGACGTTTATCAATGTCATTTTCAATCAATCTCTAGAGGGCGCTGTAAATTGCTCAGCCACGTAAGTTAGGGTCGTATTTTCGTTCTTTGGTCAATTTTATTACTTTACTTCACGGTTTTCGCCATTATGTGAGAATGGTATAGCTAAATAAAAGTGTGTGTATCGTTTTTTTGTGCTTCAACTTCGATTTGTTGACGGTAAGTCGATGAAAAAGATTCGCCCTTCCGTCATTGTAAAACAGTGAATTTGCGTGTTTTAATTGATACTTTGTCATTATGTGTCTCTTATATGTTATTATTAATATTGTACATTCTATAACACCATTATCTATTAAAGTATGCCCTCTTCAAAGTGTCATTTGTAATGCAATACTATTTCGTGTTTCCAGATTGATAAACTATGTCTAACATACCACCAACTCCGTACAACAATATTCCAGTAACATCACAAATGAATCCTAATAGTGCCCCCACGATGTCTACGCAAAATCAACATTACGGCCACGTGCCACCAAGCCAGCTGCCTCCTGGATATTCAAGTCTGAAACAAGATAGAAATTCAAACAGTCCTGCACATTTACCAATGTCGACACCTCAAAGTGGCGTTCTTCATAATATGAATAACTATAATCAGAGTGCAAGCAATTCTCCAGCTTTCAATCAGTCAGTAGTGATGCCTCAAACATTAGGATTGCAATCATCTCCTATGAGGCCACCAGTAAAACCTGCTACCACTGGGCAAAACTTTAATCCGTTACCAACATTTCCATCAAACGGTCCTGTGACAACTTCCAATGCCAATCTTAACTATAGTCAGCAACAGAAACAAATTAATGAAAATGCACCACCTCTTATTCCTTCTAGTCAGTATCAACCTCTTATAAATGGTCCTCCGGGCCCACCTCAGCCACTAATGCCTCCAACATCAAGTCAGTATCCAGTGTCATCTAGTGCTTTTAGTCAATCTTCTATTGGAGTGAGACCACCAAATGCAAATGCAACTTTTGCTGGAACTTTAAGTGGTCCTTTTCACCAAGTGTCACAAGCTCCTATTAATGTGAGTGCTGCATCACAACCAGGACTGATAACTAGCCAGCCTAATATACCCTTCTCTGGAGCATCTAGAAATAGTCCAATGATTCATGGGCCAATAACTAGTGGTCCTGTTTTTAATGGACCACCATTAGGACCTTCAATACCTAGTGGACTTCCCCAAGAACTTTCAAGACCTATTGGTATCAATGGTCCCAACAATAATTTGGTTGGGCCTCCACCAATATCTGGTCCTCATTCTGTATCAGGGCCTTCATCGATGTCTGGGCCTAACTCGGTATCAGGACATCCACCAATGTCTGGACCTCCAACAAGTGGAATAATGCCTCCAAGATCTGCAGTTCCAAAAAGTGGCCCACCTATGATTCCCCCTACTAGCAATGCATTAATGCAGAACCAGACATATCCTGGCCCACCACGTAATGGCTCTGGGCCTGGGCAATCACTTCCTGTTGCTTCAAACAATTTAGGGGGACCCCAAAGCCTACCTGTTGGATTTCAAGGTCCTCCAATAAACCAGCCAGGGATCATGACGGCACCTCAAGGGCCACCCAGTGGTCCTTTAAGTGGTCTACCAAAAAGTAACATGCAGAATAGATATCCACAAATGCCTCAAGGAAACTTTGTGAATAACCAACAACCATTGACACAACAACCAATGATGAATAAACAGTATCCACAGCAACACAGTGCCCAAGCCCTGACTCAGCAAATGGGCCAATTGAGTGTCACTAAACAAGGCTTTGATCAACTATGGGGCCACCAAATGGTAGACTTGATGCAATGTCGGCACATACTGCCTGAGTATCCTGAGGATCCACCGGAAATAAAATTGGGTCATCAGTTTGCTGACGCACCAAATTGTAGCCCTGAGTAAGTATTGATTACAATTAAACAAATTAGATCCCTATGCAATATTAAACTAGGTACTAGCTGTTTTCCTGTGACTTTGCTCATATAAATTTGGTCTAAGCACCCAAAAAGATGAAATATTTGTCATGATAGGAGTCTTGGAAATATGCAAGATTACTCTCTGCAAATAAACAAACAAACAAAAATTAGAAACATACTCTTCATAATCTAACTCAGCCGTTAAGTTCATCCTAATAGCTTGCATAATATCTGCAGTTACACTCCAAGGGCATTTTTTTATTGTTAACTGTAGAAAATACTTATTTTTATCTGTTAAAGGTCATTTGGTGCCAATTAGTTGCACATATTTGAAATTGTATCTTGTACTGTTAAAAATTTTACATGAACTGTATAAACATTTTAACAGTACAAGAAACAACGCTGTCTCAGTTTATACAAATCTGTCTTTGATTTTAAGCTTCAATGCATTGAGAGACTAAAGTTTCTGATTAACTGAGAGATTGATTCTATTTATTCTCATGATTATACTCTAAACTCAGGTATGGGCAACCTTGGACATGTTGTGAGTCAAACTTGAGTGTGCAAAACGTTCGAGGGATGCATTTAAAAGTAGTACATTTTAAAGAAGTGTTGTAGTGCTCATAATTTTTTTGCGATAGATATCAGACATGAAATAATACACCAATGTTATTATAAATTAGGTTTTTCAAAATGGCCGGCTGTTGCCCACCATGGCTCTAAACTGTACTAAAACAGGTTTACGTTTCTGATTTTAGTTTTTCTAGTGATCATTTGACAGCAGTTTGATAAAAGAAAGACTTTTTTCATGATTGAGATTTTGTATTTTTCTCAATTCAGGAACCTGCTAATAGACAGGGACTCTTTAACTTTATCCCCAGTCTTAATAAGAAATCTCTAATAGCTATAATTGATTTTTGTCAAACAACTTATTTTGCAGTATGATATTTAATAATGTTCCTGCATTCGTAGCGCATAGGGGTAGGCAAAATTATTAAACTAATAATATTCAACATACCTGAATTAATTTTATTACTTTGATGAAGTATCTATGTGCAAACATATCTGTGAGCTTTTAAACAATACAGCAACTGATTATAATAAGTTGGAAACAAACCTCATAACTCTTTATAATTCATTATTCTTTGCTTTGTCTACATAATGTTTGAACAATTGGTAATATCGTCGTGATATATTTGTTGTTTTGTAATTTAAACTATAATTTGGCTATAAAACATTAAGATAAAGTCAGATATTGATTCTGTTTTGGGGCAGGCCCCAAGTGGATTTTTTAAACATTTTTCATTAAGAATATTTTTCAGTGTAGCATTGTAAATGCGAAAATGAATGCGAGAATGAATGATTTTTTAATTTTAATTAGCTTTGATTTATCTGGAATACCAAGATCATAATTATTTTCATAGTAATATGATTATTAAATAAAACAACCTTTAAAACCTAAGAAAACGAATTCTAATTTGAAGATATGTAGATAAGACTCCTAAACGATTTATTACACTTATATTTGAAAAACTTTTCAGATGTTACAGACAATACATGTGAAAAAGTAGTTTTATTTAACTAGTTTTTATTTAAAAAGTAATGATTATTTGAAAATTGAAAAGTCACCAACTTTCTGATTGATAGTGAAATTCAGGATAAATGTATAAAGCATAAACACTCTCACTTGCATCAGACTGTGAGATAGACAGACAAAATCGGTTTTCAATTAATTACTTGCAAACTATTATGATTATTTTAAAAGTGATGTTTAATTCCTATGGCTAACTCGTGTTTCTCTAATAAAATATTGTATTATAACAACAAGATTTAGAAAAAAAAAAAACATTACTTAAATCTGTCAAAATTCTCCGATTGACTTTTAACCTTAATATTATATTAATGTCATTCGCAATCGGTAGTAAAAGAAAGATAAGACAATTGGCGAATCATATTAACAAATCCTACAATTATACATCGGTCAATTAGCTAAAGTATTCTATTTTTATTGTTTCACTTCATCAGTTTTATCTAGTCTTTCAGAATAAAGATTTCATTTATCAAGTACTTCTTATCAAATCACACTATAAAACTTATCAAATCCAGTTGCTCTGTTGATCGTGATATAATTTGAATGTTATTAATGATATTTTATTAAGATATGTTTTCATATGATTTAGCTGAAGAAGATGTGTTGTTAATAATGTTACTCAGTAATTTATTTGCTACCATGAATAAACAAAGCTTGGAATATAAGCAATGTAGCTCAGATTCTAAGCTAACTAGCTAAAAGGTTTTTATGAAGTATTAGGAACAACGAAGTTTGTTTTTTTATATTAACGCGACCAGGAATCGAACCTCTCAATGTTGACGACACCTTGGAATTAGCATGCGATTCATTTGCCACGGAGGTACTTCGATTCTTCATATACTCCTCTTTCAGATAAAATAGTCTTTAAAACAAAACCTTTTTAAACCTAGAATCTATACTAATATTATAAAGAGGTAGTTTCTAAATTTGTCAGTTGAACATGAAGATTGTTTCACTACGGGAGGCAAAAACATACGCGGTTATAGTTTACTCAGATCAAGTCGCGTGAAAACTGCTAGTATATTATGAAGTGTTATATTTTCATTTGTAATATGTTCTCTACTATGTTATACAGTACATTGGATACAACGATGTATTATTAGAGAGACAGACTACATAGAGATGAATCTTTGGGCAGATAATGAAATTAAAAATAGAAAAATTGCTACTGCTCTGATGTAACTTTATTTTTATGAAAGCCATAAAGATTAAAGAAGACCAGTAGTTTCCAAAGGCAGTTCTATTTGATAAATGCAAATGTATTTTTATGTTGTGAGTAAGCATTAAAAAAAAATCATAAGCAATATAAATAATTTAAGTCTAACGCCGTGGTATAGTTGCCGTTAGTGTTCTATGCATCCTAATGCCAAAGGATAACTTGTCTTGCGCCGGCGTCGAAAAGGTAGAGTTTGAATTTGAATAACTTTATTTGTTTATCATTTCAGGATCTTCAGATGTACTATAAATCGTATACCGGAGACTAACAGTTTGCTGCAAAAGTCGAGGCTACCACTCGGAATACTCATACATCCGTTTAAGGACTTAAATGTGAGTTAATTGATGTCTAGCAGATTAATCACGCATTTTAAACGTATACGTACGCGTACATTTGTACAATTTTTTTAGTATCCATCTATATAACCGTTTCCTATTCAGCTACGGTATTGCATTTTTTTTTAAAGAACAGTAACATTCGAATTTGTAGTCTAGTAGAAGTAATTTATTGAGTATAAATATTAGCCAATTAGTAAGGCGTAAGAACTGTCAATAGCTTCTTCTTCTTTTATTGACGGCTTATCTGCGCGTTTCGCACAATTCCGCCAATTTCACGTGGATAGCCACTACACTATACATAATTAATTTGGAAAAGAGAATCTTATATTTAAATAAATAATTATATACTTTCTATGTCGATAACGAACCTGAAACAAAACACATTTTACCGCACTGTCAATAGCTAAATATTAGAATAACATGACAAGTTACGACTTCATTCAGATTCTTGTATTTCAGTTAAAAATATTTGCTAAGTTATTCCTTTTGCCCGAGTGATAATTTTTTGTTGACTATAGATACGAGTGTAAGAAACTGCAACTTTTTTTAGTGCTATACGTTTGTTGAGAGTAAATCTATACATAAATAGTGAAATTTGCATTTTTGTCCACCGTAGCATCTACCTGTAATCCAGTGTACGACAATAGTGCGGTGTCGGGCGTGCCGCACCTACATAAATCCGTTCGTGTATTTCGTCGACTCAAAGCGATGGAAATGTAACCTCTGCTACAGGGTTAACGACCGTAAGTATTTAGTGAATATACTGTTATTATTCTGTTGTTTTTTTTAATGTCAATCGATACGCGCATATTTTTGTCGTTTATTTGTTTATAATTTAAAACATAATTAGTCCAAAATGGGTCAGTCTACGGACGGTCGGTCAAAAATGTTGACTATCAAAATGAAATGAAAATATCTTTATTCAAGTAGGCTATTATAAGCTCTTTTGAATCGTCAAAAAAAAATTTTTTTCCCCTACCACTTGTTCAGGACGTCTTTTAGCTGACAAGAAGAACAAGCGAAAGAAATTTGCCAGCTCTTTATCATAAGTAATGACATTTACATAAATGTCAAATACCAAAATAGTATGTATTATCACAATAATAAATACAACTTTCACCTTATCAGTTTTATATGTCCCCGCTGCTGGGACTAAGGCCTTCCCTATTAAAAAAAAAAGATATTTCAAGAGATTTGCTTTCATTCGGCGCAGATCTTTGTTATGGCTTCCATTGTATTCGGTGTCGAGTGGAATCGAATGGAATAGGAAGGATAGGTGGTGTATTAACGTATGCATATGCAGCCGGGACCAACGGTATAACGTGCATTCCGATTGAGTTCAAGATGTTAAATGTTTGTAATTATATTTGATCAATTTCTTATTCGCAATGCTATTCTGGAATATATCACATTGTTGTTGTTTCATAACGTTTAAATATACCTCAATCGTAGGAGGGTTGTGTATTTTAAGCTAGTGGATTACTCCAGTTATCAAGACTGGCCGATAAATCTTTTTTTTTAAGTTTTTTTAAATTCTCAGTTTGCATTTTTAAAAACCCGATTTTTTATCAATAATATTTTGTCATCTGGTTCCAATAGTACCCGAAGAGTTTCAATACGACCCGGTGTCTAAGTCGTACGGTGATCCGTCTCGCCGGCCGGAGATAAAGTCGGCCACTATAGAGTTCATCGCCCCCGGCGAGTACATGTTGCGGCCGCCTCAGCCCGCGGTCTATCTGTTCCTGTTCGACGTGTCGCAGATCGCACGCGAATCTGGATACTTGCAGGTGATCATTAGCATAGTAAAAGAAGAATGTACTATTCTCCATCCAGCACTAAAGTACTGGATGCTTTTCAGACGTATCTAACGGGCCCAAACACGATTCAGTTGCTTTATTTCTTTGCTAAATTCCTTTGATAATCATCCAGCTCCATCATATAAGGCTTGCTGACACCATAATATTGCATTGTCATCTGAGTTACATGTCTATGCAAAATTTCAAATCTAACGAACATTGTGAAGTGGGTAAAATTTGAGTTCCAAGATTTACTTTCTATCTAACATACAAACAGAAAGTTAAATAAAAGCTTGTATGTAATAAAAATATTTAAAGTATATAACCTTAAAGATCTAGTGGATCTTTAAAGTTAAATGCAAGTATGATATTAAAGATTTGACTGTGTTTTTTTATAACAAACTTTGATCATAAAGTTTCTAACGAAATTCTAAATTCTTATTCTTTCAGACCATTTTATAGAAAAGCCTTGGGTTTTTTCCTTAGCACCAACACTACTAAAACATTGATCAATGTAATCTCGTGACAGTGACAGTACTACTGACTTAGAACTAGTCTATGGCTGACATATTGTTTGTTTACTGACCGAATGACGTCAGATCATGGCGGATAGCGTTTTAAGCGATCCAAAGTAAAGTTATAGAAGATGATTTTTTAAATTGAAATTACGCAGCCTAAGGACTGAAATTGATATGTTTTGATTTTGTACTTTTTCTCGATTTTCTTATGGGAACATATAGTGTTATGATAAAATTTGGTTGTTTACCAGGTGGTATGCGATACTTTGAAGAACTCGTTGGATCAGTTGCCGGGCGATGCGCGCACGCAGATCGGGTTCATCTGCTACGACGCGCACGTGCACTACTACCTGATGAGCGACGGCCTCACCAGGCCCAAGGAAATGACCGTTATCGATATTGACGGTGAGAAAATACGTCTCTTACTTTATATAACTATTTTTTTTTAATTTTTGTAGTCTATTTTAATCGCGTATGATGTTTGTTACCTTTTGTAATTGAAGAATTTTAATGATCAGATCAGTTAATTCCGTCTCTATAATATTAGTAACATATTTTTTTACACCATTATCAAAATTACTGATTTAAATCTACAAAACGTACAAGGTGTTGATCTCAGATAAAATAATTTATTTTGTGTAATCTGCATAAATAATACATTATTTTGTTTAAAATAAAGTGAAATACTGTCCTATAGGATGACAAATATTTAATATATTTTTAGGTTATCAAATACCTTATTGTATACGGATGACGACTGGTAAAATAAAAAGAAATTCTATTTAGTCCGCCAGTTAGATAATAGAGAAATATTAGATACATATTTTTTTTACTTCAATATAACAAGAAATAGCTTAGATAACAGACATTCAAGTTGAGGAGTGGGGCCTTGGTACATCACAGTTTTGTAAAAAATATACCAAAACTGACGTGATGCGACATTTATACTCATGTATAGCCGTAATTGAATGATTACGAAATAAATAAAAAAATACGTGTTTAATATTTTTAAACTATCTACGAACAAACAAAAATTAGTCGTCAATCCAAATAGGGATTGTCTACAACAGTGTACAATAAAGTGTGTTTGTTTCGTTCCAGACGTGTTCCTCCCGTCCCCGGAGTCGCTGCTGGTGAACCTGGGCGAGAGGCGCGAGCTGGTGCGCGAGCTGCTGGGCGCGCTGCCCGTACGCTACGCCGCGCCGCCCGCGCCCGCCGCCTCCGCCTCGGCGCTGGGCGCAGCGCTGCAGGCCGCCTACAAGCTCATGGTGAGGACGCATCGCACATGCGTACATATTGCCAGCCACATTACAATAATAATGTTACATTTGATGCTGAACTAAATAAATATTCTTAATGAAGAATTATTAAAAAATCCATTTGCCTCAGGTACAGGGTTCGGCATCTCAGAGTACCTGGGGCAAGTTTATCAAGTATTATCAAAATAATTTCAATTTTACATTTACGGTGTTAAATTTATCACAATACCTTGCAAAAGTTAGCAGTAGGGGTTTTCAAGTTACGTTTGAATTGGTAATAGCTTTTAGAAAAAAAAATTGAATACGGGGCCGCCCATTAATCATGTGAGACTCGAAATGGGGGAGGGTCGTCGAAAATCACGAAATATCAGAAAGGGGTGGGTTGGGGGGTGTAGTAATGTATACACACTCTTATGCTTGCCTGCTAAGGGGTGAATTCACTTCTAAAAGAAGTGCTAAATAAAACCAACCCATTTGAATGCTGTAAAAACACTGATTTATTTTAAAATAAACTGTGCAACGAAAATAAAAGTGCAGCGTAGCATTGTAGGTATGTAGGTTATACTGTAATTTATTATATTGATATTAATTATTTCTAAGTAGGTACATTGGGTCGTACAAATGGCGTTAATAATTTAAGATTTATTGTTGGTACTAAAAAAGTCACGTGATTTGGGAGGAGGTTCTTTTTTCGATAGTTCTTTTATAAATTGTATTGTATTTTACAATTTTCAGGCACCTACTGGTGGGAGAATAACCGTCTTCCAAACTTGCTTACCTAACGTCGGACCTGGGGCTTTGCAGCCAAGGTAAAAATAAGTTAAAAATATCACAAGCAAATTTTTTATTTTAGTCAAATATAGGTATCAAAATAATAAACTAAATTTACGACGATTAATACATTTGTAATAGCTATGTGTTAAATTAAAATACATTTACAAAACAATATAACCATTCTTCATTGATGAATAAACTATGGCATCGAATTATAATAGCAACGCCATCTATTGGCCCTAAATACCATTCCACGCTAACTCATTTCAGGATTAGATATTTGTTTTTTTTTTACTTTAAAAAAAAGTTGTGAATAATTAAAATCTTTTTTTCTTATATCAGGGAAGATCCGAACGCTCGTTCATCTAAGGACGTGGCCCACTTGAATCCGGCGACAGATTTCTACAAGCGTATAGCGCTAGAGTGTAGCGGCGCGCAGGTCGCTGTCGATCTGTTCCTGCTCAACTCACAGTACTGCGATCTCGCCACGCTCAGTACGTACTATCAACAACGTTTTAGAGGGCCCACTCTATTTCTCCACGACCGAAAAATTGGGAACATTTCGAACTAGCAGCCTATTCATGTACCCAGACCTTACCTATGGATAGAATCTACTCAATGCGAATAGGGACAATGAGCCATTAAGCACCACGCGGGCGCATTGCGTATTGGTGGGTGTTAACGATTGCAGATGCAGTCGGGACCGACGGTTTTGCGTGCGATCCAAAGTACTAAAGTGCTCGTGATAATTTTGGTTCCCCATCTTAAGGCCGGCCATTGCGAAAGTTGCTTTACAACTGTATCGCAGATCGAGCGCGCTAACGACTGGCCCATCGAGCTTGTCAAATCCTAAAATATTTTATAATACGGGTGTAGACAATAACGAAATTAAATACATTTTTTTTTCTAAGTGTTTAATATACTATTACCGGTAATAGCACTTTTATGCCTAGTATATTTATAATATTGCTCTAAATATTGCAAACTAAATATTTTATGTTCCTTGTCACGTGACCGTATACAGCGCGTGACGTTACGCCTTTGTCACTCAAAACAGAACTTAGAGAATTCAAACCTTATTCTTCAAGCAAAAAGTAACAATTGTTAAAAAAAATCGTCAGTCCTGTTAGGTCTTGGGTAGAGTAGTGGCCCGGATTGCGAAAGGTCGTGGGTTCGAATCCCATCGCAGAGTACTTTGTTCCTGGGGGCAAAGTGTTTTTTTAAGCATTTTTAATTAAGAATATTTTTCAGTATAACATTGAGAATGCAACATTGATCAAATATATTAATGAGTTTTTATAAATATTTACAAAAAGCGAAACTATAACAAAATTTCGTCTACATTATGTAGGTTATTTGTATATGTCGCATCATCATTACGAAGATCGTTTGATTTAGTTTCTTTTATTTTAATTGCTAGTTACTCGATTACTTAATTACTCGATTGTAAAGAGAGCGTGATCATCGATACTTTTAATTTTATTAGAATGGTGACACTGACTTTGACAGTTCGTTTATAAAAACCAAGTTGCCGCCATTTTCGCACACATTCTGTTTCCGATCGCCAAGGAGTAAAGACATCCGATGACATCACGCTCATCTCCTTATATTTTCGTATAAAAAGTGATAAAATGGAATAAATCCACGTTGGTACACCACGCCTGCAGTGTTATTTTAAAGATAGTCCACCGATATGGACGATCTTTTTGGGCTTCGAAATAGCCCATTCGGTCTACCCGTCGTTATATATAATGTATAATTATTTGAATACAATTTGAACATATAATATTATCAGGTGGCATGAGCAAGTTCAGTGCGGGCAGCGTGTATCACATACCGCTGTTCAAGGCGGCCAGGACGCATCAAGCGGCGCAGTTACAGCGGATGCTGAACAGATATCTCACCAGGAAGATAGGCTTCGAGGCCGTTATGAGGGTGCGGTGTACCAGGTGACGAGATATTTATTTATTACTGTGCTGTTTCCATCTGTACAGCAGCGCTACAATTTTGAGTTTCGTCAACAGACTTTTGGACGGTAGTTGAAAACTTTTATAAATATATAGTCCTATAACATCTGTGATATAATGTAGAAGCAACAGCATGTCTGCGATTAATAGTTTCGGAGATACGGTTCCGTGTTTTTGGAACTGTTGCTAGTTGTTCGAAAACGCTCCAAATATATTCAAGGCATTAAGTGACGTCACATAGTGTTACGTTAGCGAAAAACGTATGGGCGTCTGGGCAATCTTTGTAATATTTTTATTATTCGTTCGCTTATAGCTCTTATAATAAATTTTGTTACGTTTTGTTTTATTTAATGCCATATGTATTTTACAAAAAATTTGTAATATAGGTTCTATATATTTTTTTTCGATTTGTCAAAGTGTAATATTTCCCAAATCAGTGTCATAAAATTAATTTTGTGAAAGATTTATAAGTTAAAATGGTTTATACTTTCCGGGACTGGGTTGCAAAATAAAACAAATCAGCGGACTTTGTTTTATTTTTAAAATTATAACTTTTGTTTGAAAACTAAAATAAAATTTGGTCTTGCGGAAAAATATTTTTTATAAGGATACCTGTATACTTTCATTTTTTATAAAAATTGATAATTATCTTGTTTGTTGTTAAAACAGGGGTATAACAATTCACACGTTCCACGGTAACTTCTTCGTCCGGTCGACGGACTTGCTGTCGTTACCTAACGTGTCGCCGGACGCAGGGTTCGGTATGCAGCTAACCATTGAGGAGTCTCTATCTGATCTGCAGCAGGTTTGCTTCCAGGCTGCGTTACTATATACGAGCAGTAAAGGTAATTACCCACCATTTTCATTATATAATAGAGTTAAGTCTATATAAAAGTGCAGCTCGATGGTGCAGTGGATAAGTGCCGTGGCCCGCAATCGTTCGCAAGGGTCGGTCGCAATGGGGTGGGTGACCGAACAAAAAATATCTTGAGCTACTCTATGCTTTAGAAGGCACGCTAAGCTATTGCTCCTAGCTGCATTTGAAGTTAATACCGTTAATACCCTTCAATCCACATTGGGCCAACGTGAAGTCATGGCCCAACATTAACATTAATCGAGAAAGCCTGAGCCCCTGCAGTGGGGACGTAAAAGGCTGATGATAGTAATGCCTATACCTTTTCAATATCTATGTATTTTTAGTCTTGTTTGACTTCTCTTTGAAAGTTCTCAAGATATTTTGTTCAGTACATGGCACTCGTCATACTCATGAGTTTTTTTGACTATATTCTTAGATTGTTCCTAGGGTAGTAAAAAAGGTTTTATGTGTGAGCGTCGAATGAAAACGATACGCATGACTATCCCTAGCTCTGTCGTATTTGCGTAGTACTGCATATTGTTGTACGAGGTAGGGTCAGCAGAAACGACACATGTCTTTCGTCTGCCGTAAGAACATACTTGTAATCAAGCGGCAAACTCTGTTCAAATGTCAAATACTATCAATTTAACATCCCTTTCAGCATCAGTTTTAATTACAATTTCATTGCGATTCCATTGGTACATTTTGTTTTTGTCAGGCGAAAGGCGGATCCGCGTGCACACACTAGCGTTGCCGATAGCCAACACGCTCACAGACGTGTTACACGCCGCGGACCAACAGTGTATAGTCGGGTTACTAGCCAAGATGGGTAAGTATTATTATTTTGGTAAAAGTAATAGGCAACAGGATATATTCATGATTTTTGTTGTCGCATTATTGATAATAATAATAACTTTCATATTATGTAAATACACGAGTAATTTGAATTTTTTGTCAATATAACAATATGTATAGTCAATATATATATATATATATATATATATATATATATATAATTTTCCTGTATATATACTAGATTATCACTATAAGTTTTAATTTACTTAACGAGATTTAAATGTCGCATGTTCCCCTTGTTTTGATTAGGGGAATATGCAAATTTTTTGAGAATGTTTTTATATGATAATTTACATCGTAATATAACTGTTAAAAATACCCAGCACCGAAAAACTAACATTTTGTAAAAATGATAAATTGATGAAAATAAGTAACAGCTACGAGCAGTTCAATCGCCGGATTTTTTTCGAACTAAAGATATCACGTTTTAAATCAATATGGATTTTGAGTGATTGATTTTATTCAATTATCAAATTCGATTAACAAGTGATCGATATTTTAAAGTATAATAGACTTTTTTAATAATCATATAGTTTATCAAATTGGTGAAATAAAAACAAAAGCCTAAAACATAATTTTAATCATAGTCTGTTGTTTATATTGCGACATAATACATTAATGTATTATTGCAACGATATTAACTTTTTGTAACAACGACATCCCTGTACATGTAATTTTCGTCACATCCGCTCTGACAAGTAGCATGGCGTTTGAATATTTTGAAGTTAACGCATTTTTTATTTAAATACTTTGAAGCCGACAACGAACTAATGTTGAAAAATATTAACATAGACTTGATTCTAAAGCAATAACGATCGCAATAAAGATATATTTAATCCTTTTTTTTTAGTGAGACTCATATTCCGTATTGTTATTATTGTAGCGGTGGACCGTTGCGTGTCCGCGTCCATGTCGGAGGCGCGCGAGGCTCTCACTAACGTGGCGGTGGATGTACTGTCGGCGCACAGACTTGCACAGAACTTACCTGCGGGCGCCAGTACTAGCTCGCTGCACGCGCCCTACGCACTCAGGCTACTGCCTTTGTATCTACTCGCGCTGCTCAAGAGGGTAACGCGTTCATTTATTATTCTCAACTAATTAATTTACTGTAGGGATATGTACTGATGTTTCTATCTTGCCGATATGGAAGACAACAAAAATATATAATTAACTAGGTTTCCGCCAGCGTCTTTGCCCGCGTGGTCGCTAGGGAACTGTTTATTTGGTTATCGATTGATATCACGGATATGTATAATCATCGATGGATATAATTATAATGACATTGAATAGTAAACAATAGTTACTATGGTAACGTTTAATTCTCCATACAAACTTCCACTCCCATTTTCATCCCTTTATTTGCTGTTTCCCAGGATAAAATATAGCCTATGTTCATCGCATATGATGTAGCTTCCCGTAGGTGATTTGTTTAAAAATAGTTCCAGTAGTTTCGGGGCCCATGCGTTGCAAACAAACAAACAATCGGATCTTTCCTCTAGATGATATTCCATCTCAGGCGCTTGAGATGAATTATTAAATATTTGCAATTCGAACAAAAACAAACATTATAAAGCTGAATCAACTATACAATGAGTATAGAAAAAAATATTTTTATATACTGCAGTTCTCCTTTAGATGGAAATATTTGCGAAGAAAACACCATATTCAGAGTGGTCTGTTAAGCTATCCTATGTGCCCGAGGGAATGTAGCAGCAGAAAAGGCGCTTTCAGCTTCCTCCCTATTCCATATTACCCTTTGTAATTTTTGATGAATTTTGCATTCTCAATAGTGTATTTAAAATATTTCCACATGACTTTTTTTTCTTATGATGCATTTAATGTAGTAGCCCGGTTCTTTTGAGTACAAGATCTTCCGCTGTAGATTGTACGGACTAATGGCATAGCTTTGGACATTTACATTCAGTCTAAATTGAATAAATATATTTGAATTTGATATAAGTACTCTCGTTAATCCAGTGAGATTTCATTTTTCTATTTTTTTTATTTGGTATAACGACAAGCTCAAATTACACTCATTACTTAAATCTAGCCTTTACTTATAGAGTCAGTTAACAGTTATCCACTTATAATAAGAAAAGTGACAACTTTCTTTGAGGGTAAATCCAATATTGAAAGCTTTACGTCTCTTAATTGCTGGTTAACTAAATTGTAAATATAATTTAAAGTGTCTTTATTTTATGACTTGTTTATATGTATTAAATTTGATTAGTAGTTAACTTAACAGCACATGTAAACACACAATGGTCACTTAAAATTCAGTTGACAGTTTAGTTTAATATTTTTCTATTATCTGACTGACGGACTAAATAGAATTTCTTTTTTTACCCAGTCATCATCCCTATTTGCGGAGATTATATTTATTTATTTATATTTAATACGAGTAAATCAGCCTTATTAGATAACGGTATCTAACGATCGCTGTGTACCGTCAGAGGGCGTTCCGGACGGGCACGTCGACGCGTCTAGACGACCGCGTGGCGGATATGTGCGACATGAAGACGTGGCCGCTGTGCCACCTGATGCGCGCAGTGTACCCCGACCTTTACCCCATACACGAGTTGCACCTGCACATCAGGACAGAGGACGAGCCGTACCCTGATCCGCCGCGGCTGCAACTATCCGCCGAGAGGTAAACTATTCATTCATTATCGTTTGTGTTAAGTACCGTAGGAAAAATTGGTATGCGCAGAATATGGGTAATGATTGACTTTCTTGAACTATTAACTTTCATTGATATTGAATTTAGAAATATATACCTCTAAACATTTGCAATAAAATTTGCAAAAGTTCATTATATGCCTAAAGGATGGTACTATGTATTCTCGATGGAATAAAATAACAGTCTTTTTTGATATCTTCTCGTCATTTCATTCCTTATTTTGTAGAGAAGATTGATGAATTGATATAAAGTGTATAATAGGGATGAATATTTAATATATAATAGGAATGGATATGATGGATAGTGTTTTCGCGGGTATAAAATGTTTCAAATTTAACGTAATGTTATGGCAAGAAAACTCATATTTTTAGTTATTTAATGCATATTAATTAAAAATAGACATTTATAAGAATATTGTAATGGTTTCTTAGCGATTCTTTGACCTGATAAGTCTCTTTAGTTGGTTTATTTTTTTCATTTTTATTAATGTCTCTAAACGCAGTGTTAATTTAATATTATATCATAAACGACAGGATAAAATAGAGTGAATAATTAAATCTAAGAAAGTTGTTGGACGACGTAGGTTTTGCGTATATTATTCCAAATATAAGACCAAATATTATTCTTTAGAGTATAAAGATTTCTATAACCATAAAAATAGTTCTCGCCACACTTCGTCGATCCCCTAACGTGTGATAACATTTATGGATAACTCATTATTTGTTTCCTCAGCATTTACTTTTTTTTATACATATTTTGTTGCCTTTAGTGTAAGTAAATGTTATTTGGAAAATATTCCACCGACCAGCACGCGTAGCTTGACGAACTCGAGAACGTTTTTTCTACACTCAAATGTCACTATTCTCGGGTCCGTTCATACAACATCTCACTCTCGACCCGAGAAAGTGACATTTGGGTGTATATAAAGCGTTTCTCTAAGTTTTTTCTCTAAGTAAACTTAGAGATAGGCTACGTCTTCAGGATATAAGGAGGAGGACAGGTGTGGTAGATGTAATCCATAAAGTGAAGACCTTAAAATGGAAGTGGACAGGACATATGATGAGATCAACAAAACCAAAATGGGCAGAAGACATCACAGAATGGTACTCTCGTGACGGACAACGGAAAAGAGGTAGGCAGATATAGAGATGGGAAGATGACCTATCGAAGGGATGGAGAAGAGCAGCCAGAGATAGAGGGGAATGGGCTAAGCTGGAGGAGGCCTTTGTCAAAGGACAACCTTGCGGTACAGATGCCGATGTCGGTGGAAAAAACTAAATTGTAACTATAATTGATATACAAAGTCAGAGAATAAAGGCTATTTTTATTTATTTATTTTATTTATTAAAGCGCGTCTCGAGTTTGTCATGCTACACGTGCAGCCCCAGGAGCTGTCGAGACGGGACTCGATCCCACCACCTTTCGCATACCGGGCGGCTGCTCTCTTTCAACATTGTGAACGCAAAATTGGTAATATATAATGAATTGTTGTCGGTCGATCGGCAGGATAAGTAGCAGCGGCGCGTACCTGCTGGACGAGGGCGACACGATGCTGATATACATATGCGGCGGCGTGAGCGCGGCGTACCTGTCGGACACGTGGGGCGCGTGCGCGCACAGCCAGGTGGCGGACGAGGCGCGCGCGGTGCCGCGGCTGCCCACCGCCGGCAGCACCATGCTGCACGCGCTGCTCGACCGGCTCAACGACGACCGCCCGCACGCCGCCAACGTGCTAGTCATCAAGTCAGTCCGCACGATTGGTTTTACTTTCATCATCACCACCACTATCACTTATATCGTCACCACCAACACTAACACCACTATCACTTATATCGTCACCACCAACACTAACACCACTGCCACCACCAAAATAATCATCACCACCGCCAATGTCATCATCACCATCGTAACAATCATTACCACCATAACAGTTACCATCATCATCCTCATCGTTACCACCACCGTCATAACAATAATTACCACCACCACCATAACCATAATCATCATCATCACCATCATCATCATAATAATCATCATCATCATCATCCATCATCATCATCATCATCATCATCATCATCATCATCATCATCATCATCCTTTTTGTCCTTGTGAAAGTTTCTTAAAACCAACGTTTGAGGGCCTCGGTGTTTATCCACTACACTATCGAGCTACTTTTTTTTTTATTTACAGACAGGCCCCTTTAAATACATGTTTGTACAAAATTACCATTTTTTAACCAAATAAAAATATTTTAAGAAAGTAAAGCATATAAAAAACAGAAACATAAATTTCAATAATTGACCCGATAGAAAATTCTCAAAAAAGACTCCAAATAGGTTGTTTTGGATCGATTTCATCTTAACTAAGTATAAAATATATATTATAGATATAATATATACAATTTTTTTTTTAATAACGGCATTTTTTTTTCTATGATAAAAATGTGTAAAATCAAGCGAGCGCGTCTTTACTCTCGATGCGTATTTGTATGGACATGAAATTAAATAAAATAAATTAATGGTTGGTTCGCAAGAAAGTCGTTACAAAAAATGATGTCGTTTTCGAATACAGCACACACATTCTGCTATATTATCTGCCTGCTTTCTATTTATCGTAAAGAATAATATTTTTAAACAGTTTAAACCCATCAAGCAATTGATACTCTATAAAAAATTAACAAAAAGTAGCCAGTGCTTGAAAAATTCGTCGGTCATGTTAGGTCCTGAGTAGGTCAGTGGTTAGAGCAGCCGCCAACTAATAAAAACTCACTCATAAATTGCAATTTTAACGAAATGATATAGAATTAAAATAAAATGTTACTATAACGTTGTAAATTAGAAGCTTTTCTTTTGTGACTACTATTAATTGTCCTATAAATTCATATAAAAAATTGTTATTATAATTGACCTGTATATTATTTCAACAGAGACAACTCGCCGTTGCGCACCTTATTCACGGAACGTCTCGTCGAAGACAGAGTAGAGTCTGCGTTCGCCTACTACGAGTTCTTACAGCACGTCAAGAGTCAAGTGAAATGAGTTACGAGTGACTTTCCAGTGAGTGCGAGGGACTTATCGCCGGTAATAGGACTCGCGAGTGCTAGCTAATGAGAGTATCGGCCGATCGAGCCATTGTAAACTGTATAAAGTGCTACGACACTGCCCTAGGTTTGCTAAGATTTTTTTATCGGCTTTCGGTAATTGTCAACTCTACAGTCTGCTAAATAGGGTACTGTTTCGTTTCTCAGTAGCGTAGGGTGGCGACGAAATTACCTCTCACGGTGCCTGTTGCAATGAAACTAGTCCATTTAATTATACATGTTATCTATCGGCATAAATAAAATCTCCTTTAACTTGTATAAAAAAGTTTAAGATATCATTCCTGGTGATTTTTTAAAATAACTGATTTCAGTGATATTTTGTTTTCCATTAATGATTAATAGAATAAAACAATATAAAAATGCAACTGAATATAACAATCACAAGAACTCGAATTGATTTGTCGCAAGCTAAAAATGGTTCTTCGGAAAAAGAACTTTATTTCAAATGTAATAAAACTTGTAGTGGTGTCGTAAAATTTTGTTGTCTTAGGAAATTGTTGGTATCGGTGAATGGCGTTTGACGTCATTAGTATATACTTTCTTTGTATATCACAGTTTATTTAATTCTATGTTAATAGGGTGAAAAGCTCGATGTTCAATTTTAATCATATCTAAATATGTCTTATTTGTCGTAACTCGGCACTAAAAATTCATTGTATTTGAGGAAATCATTACAAAAATTTTAGTGGCCGTCCATTAATCACGTGATGATTTTCTCAGCAATTTTATCCCCTCTCCCTTGGTGATACATGGCGAGGTTTAAGACTACCAACCCGAAATCAGGTGTATTTTTTAAAACTTCCAAAAAATCTTAATTTTTGACGTATACACGTGATATATTTCTACAGTCCTCCCTACCTTCTTATGATATTTCGTGATTTTTGACGGGGGAACCCCCCCCTTGGAACCTCACGTGATTAATGGACGGCACTTTAGTAGGTCATTTTTTTTTTAATATCACCGATTTAATTTTCCATAATACAAAATCCAGTGTATTTATAAATACTTCACGTTGTAATAATAATAAAATCGAAAATCGAGTGATTCTTATTGTATATTTAATTTAAACATAAATCGTTGTTGCATGCGCGTGATCGGACGGTGGAATGCTGAATAAAAAAATAGACTTTATAAGATGAAGATTTTGTAAATTTATTATTTTAAATAAAACTGTTGTGATAATTCAGATCGGCTGTTTCTTTGTTCGGCGTTCGGGATGTACTCTGTATATAATTATAATAATAATGTACTATTATTGGTATTAATCGTTATGGATTTTTGTGTAAAAAAAAATATTTCCTATCTTTATTTTTTTAATATCGTACAAATACTAGGGCGTGTCGATTGATGAATGTCTGTACGTTTGTTTCCAAATGATGCAATAAAAGTTTTTATATTTTTATTGTGACTACTATAACTAGATTTACGTTAATTTTAACCCATATATTACTGTACTGTGCATAGTGGATTGTACATTGAATAAAAGTTATTTATGAAAGTTTTAGGGTAGATTTGTTTTAAATGGAAACGGGACGTGTTCGAGTTTTGTTATGAGAGACGAGTCTTGACTATTCAGTCTACTGCTTTTTCTTTTAATCTTGTACATTATGCTTACTCTACAGCCTTTTTTCGGACCAACATTAGAAGATTGTAATTAGTGACTGGTTACGTTAATTCTTTAACAATTATTCAATGGTCTAGGCTCGTCAATGGTTGTTTATTATTGGATTAAAGTTCTAACTGCGTAAGAGAACTCGATGGATGCTGAAATACTAGCGCCCTCTAGAGATGAACAAACCAATTAAGTTAAAAAAATACTATAAAAGTCAGTCATACAGAGTCCGTAGTCTGAAAGTTAAATGCGAAGAAAAAAGAAATTTAGTCTCGCCATTTTCAAGTTTTATGTTCCATTCATAAGTCACTCATATTAAATATTTCAACCAGAGTATCAATTCTGCAAATGTAGATGTAATAATGGTATTTCAATGGAGTTTCAATAAATTGCGTTTCCCACCGTATTGCCCGAAACATAATATTTTTAGAACAATGGGGTATTAAAAAATTTTAAAAATATTGGTGTTATTTTGTGCTCGAAATCGAAACTTCAGTTAACGTATCAGAATTGAGATCCAGGTATTTTGCATATTGTCAAGAATAAATGTCCAAAGCTTAAAATAATATTTAGAATGATTCTTCAGTGCGCCACTTTTTCTATATTTTCCATCCTATCGAGGCGGCGTAAGTTTGTATTTTAAATGGCTCTGTCACATTGCTGCCGATGTGAGCAAATTATCAAATTTTTAATATTAAATAAGAGACGGCTACAAAAATTCCTTCAAATGATCATTGTAAAATGGGGTCGAGAAACTTCAAGCACTTTCGATTTTGTTTTCGAACCCTTTGCAGGCTCTGTGACCTCCAGCGATTGGCAGTGCTAGTAAACAGTTACGATATAATGTACGATCATAAATTGAAAAATTATAAAAGTCTGTAGTTTTTAAGTCCCACGTCGACTGAAGGCATTGCTGCAGAAATTCACCTAGGCGCTAATCGGTTCAGCCCTGCGATTCTGTAAAACTTCAAACCCGATTTCGAATCCTCTCAGGTGTCCGAATTCACTTCAAAAAGCGGCATCCGCTCAAACTTGAATTGGTAATAATGTTTCGTGAAATGAGTTTCGAAATGATATAGGATTAAAATATCTTAGACACGTTTAATCAATCAATTTTGTTTAGTATTTTTATACAAAAAATGGAATCAATAGGATTGCTTTACTAAATGACTAGAATTCGGACACATGAGTGAATTTGACTTCGGGTCTGGATTGTTACAGAATCGCAGGGCTGAGCGCTCTTCGCTAAAGGATGCTGTTTCATAGTTAAAGAAGTAGAATTATCGCGATTCCATTCGACTACTCGACGAGCCTGCATGCGCAGCTTGACAAACTCGAGAACGTTATGCCTACACCAAAATGTCACTTTTCAGGTGCGGAGAACACCGACATTTGGTGGAGATAAACTCGAGACACTCTTTGTCTACCAAACGCCACTTTTCCTGGGTCGCCAGTGAGATATCGTATGAGCGTACTCGAGAAGTGACATTTGGGTTTAGTGTAGGCAAAACGTTCTCGAGTTCGTCATGATACGCGTGCTGGTAGACACTAAATTTTACTAAGCCAACGTCGACTCTTAAAGTTTCGGCCGTCGCGGTGATGTATATTAGTACTTCTTATTCTTGAAGTCTACCTTGGGACTAAGTTGTCTTGTAAATAAAATGTTTAAACGTGCATTATGCCAGACTCATTATTAGCGACTGATTTATTATTGGGTAATATAAAAAAAAAAAACAATTAGGTGCATATTAAATACGTTATCGGTTCGGATTTTATAAAATTATTATTTTCATGCCAATAACATCAGTTATCACTTAACGAATAAGACCTATATAATAGTGAATATTTTCTGAGTGAGGAGAGACAGATAAAATGTGTATTAGCTTCTGTTAGCGGACTGAATACAAGAGAGCCTTGTAACTTGTTTCAATATAACGAATCTAAAATCACTTTTGTTTTATTTGAAACCCTTAATGATGGTTCTAAGTGACTGGAAATGCTGACCGACGGAGTTAACGGGAGTTCGATATGACCTACCCTCCTATATACTACTTTCGACCAAAAAGTATGTAAAATTTATATTGATGGTTTCGAAATGAGGTACTTGATACTTATTGTTTTCATATCGTTTCAACTACTTTGGTCACTAAAATTCCTAAACATTGTTAACTTTTAAGTACATCTAAAATTTTATGAGGTGTTCTGGAACATTTATGTGTTATATATACACATCAATATAGTCTAGGGATATTTTATAAAAAGTTCTAAATTCAAAAAATACTGGCCGGTTTTAAAATCTTTTGATGATAACTTGGGTATGTTCCGATATACACTGCGAGTGGTCTTACTGCTGAAAAATCCGTTCCGTTATGGACTGCCAGTACACTGCTACAGTACCCTAGGGAAATTTATGACGTCATAAATTGCCGCCATATTTGTACTGTGAACACTGGAGATTTCGGGGTAAGGTGCTCGCAGTGCTTTTGATCACGTGATCAGTCGAAACAGAATCAGAAAATGATAAGTTTCTAAATAAACAAAAAAAATACTTACGTTTATTATAAGATGGATTAATTGATAAATATTTTTTTTATACAATTTTCCAATTATATAATATTTTCTTTTGAAAAGAGGGAATCTTTATATTTATATTCGCCTTGCATTAACAAATTTGAAAATGGCGCCAAAAAATAGGATTAACAGTATACTGGACTGCGTTCCGTTTTAAAAAGTCACCAGTATAACTAGCTATAAAGGAACGGGCTTCCAGTATACTAAATTGACGTCATACTGTTCAGTGGTCGCAGTGTATATCGGAACATACCCTTATTTTGTACGCCTTTTTTGTCGATTCCAAATTTGAATAAAAAAAAAAAATCAAAAGATTTGCGCGGTATAATTCAAGCGAAGTTCGGAGTTTTCAATTTACTTACCATAGTTTTTGAAGATTTTTTGTGTTAATCGAAAGTTTTAAAACAAGTTAGCTGTTTTATTTGAATTTGTGCTACTGTATGCATTATGCAGCGAGGCCATTTAACAAGAGAGGAAATGCTAAGGGCAGTAGGCATGCTCCAAGCTGGGGCTACTCGACGGAGTGTTGCTGAGGACATCGGAACAAAACAAAACGTGATATCACGGTTATGGTCACGTTATCGTGCTACTGGTGAAGTGTCTGAAAGACGCCTAGGCGGGAAGCGCATAACTACCCAACGACAAGACCGATTTTTGCAAATTGTTGCGAGAAGGCAACCAAATGTTACGGCCATGCAGTTGGTTCGAAGGCTCCAGTCAGAGCACCAGTTGCTTGTGAGTGACCAAACTGTGAG